CGTTCGGTTCGAGTCCCATTTAGCGACTCTGGAGCTCAGAACGCGTCCGGGATTTTGACCGCCGGTCTTCTGGCAAATCCACTGTGCGGCCCCAGGGACGCGAACCGCGTGCCCTAGACTCGTGACTCCCTGCGGGCGTGCCGGCGCGCCAATGTCGATCAATTCGCATCGAGGCACGCCGCGGACGCAAGGCGGCAAGGCGCACGCCGCTGCTTGGAGCGGCTTCATGACTCACAAGTGTAGCTGCTCCTATCCGGTTGCCCGAACCGAGTGAGTACAGTGCGCGAGCGCGCCGAGCGCGCCGAGCCGGGTACCCGCATGACGACGGCATCGTCGCCCACTGATGAGGCGATCCGAATCAGAGCCCCCTTCCCACAAGACGGACTGACGGGACTGCCCCTCGGACGGTGTACATTCAACGCGCGACGCCGCGACGCGCGCACATTATCCAATCTGTACTGGTCGTCGCGTTTTCGGGCAGCGCGTCGTAAATCTTGGAAGTCGGAGCAGAGCACTGCCAGTCGAGCTGACAGCGAGCTCTGGAGGCTGCCAGGAGGGAGGGGGTGGGGTGGGTGCGTCCCACTGCGTCCACGTGATCAAGTGGCGTGAAGTGTTTTGTTTGGACCGCCAATTCGTCTGTCCGGCCGGGCTTGCCATGGGCCTGCCATGCACTGCCATGGCACAGTGGGCCAGAAAACCGGCGCAGCCGGCCAAACCTCTAGACGCGTTTTGAGCTCCAGAGACGCTAAACAGGACTCGAACCGAACGTGTGACCTCGCCAACGGATTCCTCGTTCGGAGATCAATCCATTGGTGGGGTCACACGTTCGGCTCGAGTCCCACAGCGACTCTGGAGCTCGAAACGCGTCTAGAGCTTTGGCCACCACCGCCGGTCTTCTGGCCCACTGTGCATGGGCCTGCCATGCACTGCCATGGCCCTGCCGATTGTTGTTTGTTGTCGCCCGCTGCCAATGTAGCAGTGTAGCAGCCATGGCGTACGCAGCACGGCCAGCACGCAGCCGGCGGACTGCGGCCGATGGCGGCAGTGTAGTGGTGTGGTGATTCATTCCGGCCTCTGGTCGTCGCCACGTGGGCAGCGCGTGGCTGCCATTGGCCGGGACTTGAGGCTCGCCCGCCGACAGCCAATGGCAGCCAATCGGCGTTCGGCCCGTTGGGCTCGCTCGGCATCGCTCGGCGTCGAGGCGCCGCGCAGTGCCAACGGGCCAACGCCTCGACTCGGGGGGCGGGGCGCGGCAAGGGGCGGCAAGGGGCACACGAGGGGGGCACGTGTCTGCCACTGCATCAACAGCACCCCGTGGCACAATTCCCGATGGATGCACGCAGACAGACAGACAGACAGACAGACAGACAGACACGCGCGTGCAGCACGCACACAAACCCACACGCACGTGCTGTGCGCGGCGGGGCGGCGGTCTGCTGGACTGGCTGGGCCTAGCGCCTGCCGGGTAGGCCGTCCCGTCAAGCGCGCGCGTTGTGCGGGCCGCCTCGTCGGTTCCGCAGGCGCCCTGCAGCCCTGCCTGCAGCCCTGTAGCCCTGCACTCCCCCGCTATCTTCCCGCCGGCTAAGGCCAGCGCGATAGCACTCCGCTGCACCGCGGGTCGAGTCACGTTTGCCCCGCCGGTACGTGACGGCACGTGACACGTGACGGGCCGTGACGCGGCGGCCACGTGACACAGCGGGGCGGGGCGGGGCTTCGCGGCGGCGGCGTTGTGCGCGGCCAAGTTCAAGGGTGCTGCTGACCTGCGCCACGCCGACGGCAGCCCCTGCTGCGGCACGATCCACGTGGCGTCGCCCAGTCGGCGAGCACGGCGTCGACCACGTCGGCCACGTCGACGGCCAGGCTAAAGGTGTTATCAGGGCGGAACAGATGCGGAACTGCCGCCGGACGCGAAAATTGGCGTTTTGTCCCGCCGCCTCGCCTGCCGCCGGACTGCGCCGGGCGTGTTGTGATGACCGGGCGCTCCGGAAAGGCCTGGAACCTGGGCAAATAATATGCGCGGCGCGAGGCGGGGCGCGCGCGGCCTATTTGGGCCAGGCGATGAGTGGGGCCCGCCCGGCCCGCGGCGCGGCGTGTCTAAAAAGAGAATATCGGCCGCCGCGGTGGAGGCGGAGATAGCGAATCGACGCGAGATACGGAACGAGAGATTGCGATAGCGCGAGATACGCGGGAGATCTCGTAAAGCGATAGCGGGGTTCGTTGTCGGCGCGATTACGGAAATGGCACGTCCGCGATGACGGGGGAAGGTGGGGTCGTCGCCACGGCGGACGCAGGCGGACGGCGGGGTGGCCTTGGGGCAGGGAAGTGTCTCGGCGCGCGGCGCGGGGGTGGCAGCACTGCAGCGCTGCAGCCTCAGTCTGCCCCCGCCTCGGCCCGCCTCGGCCCGCCTGCTGCCCGCTGTCGCTTCGGCTGTACGCGCCGCACTCGCTTTGCGTTCCAAATGGCCGCACCGCCGCCGCCTGTCCGTCGCCTGGGTCCCGAAGCATCCATCACCATCATCACCGTCGGCAGCGACGTCTGAGTGCCCGCCGCGCCGCCGCCTGCCGCCGCCAGGCCCCAGGCCGCCACCGTCCTGGCATGGACAACGCTGGACCGACGTGTGTCCGCCGCGCCCGCCGCCGCCGGCCCGTCGACGAGGCCCCGGTGAGTGGTGGTTGCCATGCTGACGAGGCCGTGGAGGCCGTCGACGCGCTAGGAGACCGCCCCCGTCCTGCGTCGTCCTCGTCGACGGCGGCCTCTGCTTGGCGCCCTTCTCCACAGCCTCCTTCACGGCGTTGGTTGTTGTCAGCCCGCCCATAGCAGTGACGGGGGTCAAGGCGTGGAACAGCCGCCACACCACGCACACGCCCACCCTCCACGGCGGGGATTCCTCGCGCCCGAGGGCGCTGGGGATCTGGGTGGAAAGTGAGGTTACTCGCCGCGCGACCGCCTGGCGGCCGCCTCGACCTGCCCCACGCCGCGGCCGCCTAGAGCCAAGACGCCTGTGCCCCAAAGCCGCCTGATCGATACGTTGCAGTCGCGGACGCAGAGCGACAGCGGAGCGCGCTCGTTCGAATCGAGGCGCGTGACCGCACCGCGCGCACCGCGCCGCGCCGCCCGAAGATGCTCTGGTTTTCCCGCCACTTTCCTCGCTGGCCGGCCATCAGTCACACGCGGGAAAAGCGCGGCCAGGCGAGACCGCCGGCGTCTTCCTTTCCTCGGAAGAGGCAAGGGAGTGCTGTCCGGCCGAGCCGTCCGAGCGTGGACGCCGACGGCGAGCCGGCGGTCCCCAATCTCAGCCCGGCTCGTTACGAATGTGATCTGCGCTGCTTCGCGCTGCACGCTGATTCCGAGCAGGGCTCGGTCGCCCTGTCTCCGTCGCACCCTCGTGGACGCCCCACGCGGCCGTGCGCGTGAGAGAGGCAGAGCGACGAAAGCAGTGTTCGGAATCTGCCTGCTGGGGGCGGCGGCTCGAGGCGGCGGCCGATTGCCAAGGCGGTAAGGAATCGGAGGGGGGAAGGGGGAAGGGGCCGAAGGCGGCATGATAAGGCCCGGCTGGGCCCCGGCGGCGGGATAAAACAAGTGAGCCGCGAGTGGCGGAGGTATTCGGACAGTCTCCGCCAAGGTGTCGCTGCGCTACTGGCCCGACGTGCCCCACGACGCCTCGCTTCACGCTCCGCCCGCCTTCCCGCCGCCGCCTTCGCGCCGCCACTCGCCCTCACCGCACCCAGCCGCCTCGCCCGGCCTGGCCGCGCGGTAAGTCGAGACTGTCGAGGAGACGGCGTAGTGCCTGCCGCCCACCCGGGGGAGTTGTCAGCGCTGGGGCGTCCCATACCCTCACCCATACCCTTACCCTTACCCATACCCTAACCCATACCCTTACGCACCCATACCCAGCCCATGCCCATCCCATGCCCATCCCATGCCCATCCCATGCCCATCCCATGCCCATCCCATGCCCATCCCATGCCCATCCCATGCCCATCCCATGCCCATCCCATGGCTGCGGCCGCGCTTAGACCTCGTGTTTTGTTGGCGGGATGTCGAGTCGTTGTTCGTCGCACCGGAAACAACAGAGGGTTGAACAGGCCGAGCAAGCGGCTGTCTCTCTTCGGTAGTCGTGAACCCGACAGATCCTCTCTCCGACCCGGCGACGCCTGGCGACGACGGAGGGGGAGCGAATGCGAGTGTCCGGCGTGTCGACGGGGCATTCCTGGGCCGGGGCGTGCGCCGTACGTGCGAGCCGAGGACTTGTCCACGGATGCGGACATTATGTAGGGCAGTGTCGTTATTCGACGAAGAAACACGAAACCGCCCGTTGAACCGGTCCGGCACACTCGTCGGCGCGACATTCGAACCGCAGCGGGCCGGGCGCGCGTCGTTCACGTTAACCCTCACCCACCCCCACCCCCCTCCGGCCTCCGGCCTGCAGCCCTCAGGCTTTCGAGGGTGCAGTGGGGTGGATGAAGGCAATGAAGGAGGCGACCGCTCCGGAAGCACAGAGCGCGCGGCAGACTGATTCCGAGGGTCGTTTTCGTCGCCCTCTCAATCTCTCGCTCCAGTAGGGGAGACCACATGAGTGCGAGAGACGCAGAGCGACGAAAACGATTCTCTGAATCCGTCTGCACTGCACTGCAGGGCCCGCCGACCGGAAAGCGGAGGGCTGGCCCGGCTAGGGAATGACCAATGGGGAATTCCGTGGAACCGGAGGACAGCAGTCATCACGCGTCCTCCCAAACGCTGATTGACTGACGAGCTGCCCGACGTAATGGCGTTGTTGTTGTGCTCCTCCTGCAGACTGATTCCGAGAGTCGTTTTCGCCGCTCTGTCACTCTCGCACCTAACCGGGGCGCCAGAAGAGTGCGAGGCAGACAGAACGACGAAAACGACTCTCGGAATTGAGTCTGCTGATTCCGGGTCGGATGAAGCCGAGGCGGACTTGGCGCGAGCGCGACAAACCGCCAGTGTCGATCCTTCTAACGTGCGTCCGCCGCGTGTTCCAGGATCCTGATCACCGCTTGGAGCTCCTTCTTCTTCTGAGGACCAAGACACGCCCAGCTCGCCACCATGGGGATGGAACCGTCGAGCCTGGTGGTGGACTACGCGGTGTTCGCCATTGCCATCGTGGCGTGCTCGCTGGTGGCCGTCTGGCAGAAGTTCCGCGGCCCCAAGGAGACCACCAAGGCGGACTACGTGTTCGCCACCGGCACCGTCAGCATGGGCGCCATGATGCTCTCCATCGCCCGCGGCACCCTGGGGGTGCGCTCCTTCCTCGGTAACAACTAGGAGAACATTGAAATGCGTGGAATGGGCTTCAGTCCTCGCAGCCACTCTTATGTTTCGGGGCATTTTTAGAACTCATATTTTATGTTTTCTCGTCGTGCAGGGTATCCCTCGGAATTGTACTATAGAGGTGCAGCCATGTGGGAGACGGTGTATGGCATGCTGTGCGCCTTCCCTATCGTCATCTTCATCTTCGTGCCCGTCTACTACAACCTGGGCATCACTTCCGTATACCAGGTACGAAAGAAATGAAATCAACCACTCCACTCAACGACCGATTTCCAGGGGCTACATTTTTAAAGCGTGTGTTTTAATCTAAACTTTTTCTTTCCTGTGTTTAGTACTTGGATATGCGATTCAAATCAAGAGCGGTGAGGTGCCTCGCATCTGGAACATATGTTATTAGATCAGTTCTGAATCTGGGTGTCACTGTGTTCACCCCTTGCGTGGCTCTCAAGACTGTGATCGGATTGCCTTATTGGGCTTCTATCGTGAGCATTACTACTATTGGAGTTGGATTTACTATCATGGTAAGAAACAACAGTCCAATGAGTTCATATTTTGCTCACTGTGTGTGAAGAGTATGTTGAAATATTATTGTGATTGTAGGGAGGTCTGAAGGCAGCCATAACAGCAGATGTAATTCAAGGGCTCCTCATGATTGGAATCAGTCTTGCTGTTATTATTCAAGGCACATACAATGCTGGAGGTATCGGCCCAGTAGTTGAAATCAGCAATGCTAGAGGACGGCTAGACTTTTTCAAGTAAGTTAGTGTACCACTAGTTCAACTCCTTTTGTTTACCTCAATGCAATTACTAATTTGAAAACATCTGCAGTTTCAATATGGATCCCACAATCCGAGTCACTACTGTGTCTGCATTCTGGGGCCAGCTTTTCATGTCATTGTCAATTTTTGGATGCCAGCAAAATTTTGTTCAACGATATGTCAGCATGAATTCTCAGTCCAAGGTCACAAAGTAAGTCATTTATGTTAATTAGTAATTTAATTTATTCATTCCCACCATAATTTCTTAACAAATTCCAGGATTAACATTAAATTTGTCTTAATATTGATTCACTTATTGTTTTTTACAGGACCTTGATGGCCAATATTCCCATTATTTTGGTCTTGTTCAGTTTGTCCTGGGTTGCGGGAATGGCAATTTTCGCAAACTATGCCGACTGTGATCCTATGACACTTGGTTATACCTCTAAAATTGATGAGATTGTGCCATTTTTTGTGGAGGACAATTTCCTCTACATTCCTGGTGTACTCGGCATGTTTATGGCCTGCCTCTTCAATGGTGCTTTGAAGTGAGTTCATAATTAAATATTTTCACAATTGGACACAAATTTTTTTCTGGTTTCTAATGCCTGAAAATTTTACTTTGCAGCCTTGTTGTTTCAAATCTGAATTCACTTGCGACTGTGACCTGGGAAGATTTCCTTTCCCAAGTACCTCAATTCAAAAACTTTGATGACCGACAGCAGCTTTTTGCCATAAAGACCATGAGTAAGTTCTTATAAATTCTAGATTTTTTAAAATTTGGTAACTTAACAGCAGAGACCTAACAATATCTTTTTTATCTGTCTTTAGGTGCAGTATATGGTGTCCTTACTGTTGGAATTGCGTTTGTTGTGGCCATGTTCTCCGGTGTCATTGAATCCTCCCAACTCATGACGTCAGCTACCAGTGGTCCATTGCTGGGCGTGTTCCTTTTGGCAATGTTGTTCCCCAGTGTCAACTGGAAAGGAGCTGTCGCTGGCATGCTGTGGAGCCACATAATAATCCTGTGGATCACCTTTGGAGGCTACATGAATGTGGAGAAAAAGACAGAGCTGCTTGACCTCAATATTGCTGGCTGTGACAACTCGTCTTTCAACCCTTATATTCGCCCTCCCATTTCTGACATGCTGTACAATTATACTCTTGCAGCAAGCGCTGCTAACTCAACATTCCTCCCTGAGCTAGAGGAGGTTGCAGTTGAGACAGCACCAAACACGTAAGTAGGAGTTTGGTAGTTATACTAAAGCTCAGGCTCTTCTTTGCTTCTTCGAACTCATGTTCTTACATCAAATATTTGTTTTCAGGGACTTTTTAACGTCATTGTACTCTGTAACATACATGTACTATTCACTGTTGGGAAGTGGAATCACTGTCATAGTTGGAGTGTTGGTCAGCTACATTGTTGGTAAGGCTTTCTCTTGGTTCATGGCTGTAATTTGATTAAGTTGCATAAAATTGGGGGCTAAATTTTTTCTTTCTCAATCTATTTTTAGGCACAACTGAAGAGGACGAATATGATGAGAAACTTATTCATCCATTGGCTCTGAAATTGAGCAGTTACTTCCCAGGCCCACCAAGGCGGTACATCAACAGTAATGCGGCTAACATGGAATCTGGCGCAGCTGATATTAAATCTTGTGAACAAAAGATCAGCACTATATCTCAAGGCAGCTTTGACATTGGCAAATACAAAAAGACCAACAATGGCCCAGTTTAATTGATGTTTGCAGAAAAAGTGCCTAAAAAACTAAAGTGATTTAACTGTATACACAAAAGTGAAAGTGATAAAGAACAATTACTTAAGGAGTCAAGTCCTGTACAAGCTCACACAATGACACTGGAAAATGTGTACCTAGGTTTGAGCAAGAGAGTGCTAAAATATTTATGAAAATAGTCACTGAAGTGCCTTTTCCTATTGTGAAGAGGTGAAACTACAGACTGAATTAGTACAATATAGCATTATAGAAAGTAGTGTTAACATTGTTGTTTGTAATTCCTTGCTGCAGATTATTACTACAGCCAAAGTATTTTATGTATATGAATTGCTATCTTTAACACACAGAATGAAATGTTAGAGTAATGTATTTTTAATTGATGATTGATACTGTTAATATTCCTTCTTAGAGTTCTTATGAAGTGTTGCTTTGATGTCGAGTTTGAAGGGTTTCTAATATATTATTTAGTACTGAAACATGTACATACTATGTAATTTATCATGTCATGTGATCATAAGAGAGACCACAGCACAGCTAGAGACCTCTTTTATAACTGGGGGCACATAGACTTAATACCAAAGTTTTCTTGCATAGGCAGTTGAACATAAAAGACCATCTGTGGCTAATTTCGCTCATTGTTTTAGTGTTACTACTCAATTTATTATTTTTAATGTGATACCACAACTTGCACGTTTTGTATTTAAACCTGTTGTCCAATGATTTTATCCACTGAGAGACTTGTATTCCTCCATTATGATAAATATGGCCCTTACTTACTCCTGGACTGAAAGTGGAATCGCGGTGTTATCAAAGACTATGTAATGATAAAATCCCCCCTTTTCTTTAAATGCAGGAGCAAGCCTCTGAGTGTAAGGTCCATTAGAAAAAGAAACTATTTGATTGGGTTTTCAAATATAGTTGTTTGTAGGGGGGGACTATCTTGTAACTCAAAATGGAGGCTACATTCATTGAAAATATTTGTTAAGAAATGTGGGACAATTTTTGTCAGTTAGTGCCATGGCAAAACTAGCCCCAACAGTTTTTCCTGATGAATATTGATATTATTAGGCAAAGAGCCTGAAATAGATCTGAGATGATTTGATCATCTGGGAAAGATTAGTTTCAGTGAAACTGATGATTGAATGTTACTATATTTTACAAGGCTTTTATTCAAATCGGCGTAGTACTTTGGATATTGATTGATAAATGCTGAATGACCTAGATTGTACCAACTTAATTTCTTATTATGTAAAGAAATAAAAGTGATATTTTATACGAAATTGCATTATTAATTAGTTTTATTTCTTTAAGTAGCAGTACACACTTTTGGTTGAATTACTTTAACCAGCAGGAAGTTACCTGACAAAGACATCTACAATGAATTAACTAAAGAAATAAGGAGGGAATTACCTATGTGACAGAATGGTTATTCACACCATCATCTTATTAAGCTTTTTCTTTCATAATTTATTGAGATTGGAGAGATAAAAAGAATGTCATTCTCTTGGACTTAAGCAATGATTTCCATAAAATTGTTCCAGTTCATTTGAAATATACAGGTCAAATTAAATATAACTCCTACATCTTAAACAAAAAACTTCTTAACAATTAAAATCAGGTAGCAATATTTACACACCAGGTCCTCATGATGCCAATGGCAAACCCCAGGGATCCTTCTTCTGTTCAAGTAAAGCCAGAGAGGCATCAGCTATTTTTAGCATGAATCCACCTAGTTGATCTTGTGAATAAACCTTTAAAAGAGACACAAAATAAATGAGAAATCATAATTGAAAACTATTCAAATCATTCAACAAAAAGTGCCACATATCTTGAAAATGTGGAAACAAACCTTATAGAGCTGGTACTGTTCTGAGACAATAAGGTCAGCCAGCTGAACACATTCATTGTAATCTTCCATTTTATACAAGACACTATGTAAAAGGAGCACAATCTGATGGGGACACAAAAAAATAATTATTAAGCTTCAAATTTTACAGAGAACAATGATTCTTAATGCAATTTATAAATCTCCAAAAATTCACCTCTGGGATACACTGTGCACGTAGGTACTCAAGCTCCTTTTCACGCTGCTTATCTGTGTCATCTTCTTGTGACATAAGTTCTGTTTGATCTGGACAGCTTGAAAAAGAATCTACAAGCCAACCTCCAGCTGGGAAGAGGAGCACATTGTACAGTAGGGAACGAACCGTCTGAAAACAAGTAAAAGAGAAAACATACACTCAGTCAAAAGGGAAAATACAGAATAGTTTCTTTGGTGTTGCACACTTAAAATAGTTAAAAAAAATAAATCTTTCACAATAAGTTACCTTAGTTTGGCTCTGCATTGTTTTTTTCCAGCGGTCTAGCTCACGTTGGAAAACTGCTAAACGGTGATCATAAGCCACTCTGTCTTGGAAGGATGCATTTTCTCCAGGATCTGCAGGTTTGCTTGGTTTTGCATTATGGAAGTGTTGGTGCCAATCCGAGAATCCTTCCTTGGCATCCTGCCACAAACATTTAAGGTAAATAAATTTTTGAGCTATACCCTTTAGAGTTTTGAATAGGATGGGAAAACAAATGAAAAGGTACTGTACCAGGTAGGCTTTGTAGCAAAAGTATTCCCTAACTGATGAAGCAACCCTACGAGGAAGACTTTGATGGAAGTTCATTTCTCCATCATCAGGTCTGACCTGAAATTCTGCCATGATTTGACTAATTGAGTCTGATGGAATCTGGAAGGAACAATACAAGTTCAATAACCTTGTTGTAAGAAAAAAAAAATCACAACAAAATATATGTTTGGTACCTTTGTAAATGCCTTAGTGGCAGCTTCTATCTTGCCTGTTGCAAGGAATGAGCGTATGAGTGCGTTAGCCTGCCACAAAGCTTCTGATCTTTGAGCAGGGTAGAAAACAAGCCAATCCAAAGAAGATATCTTTTTTAAGTCACTAGCTGTAGTTTCACTAGTTATTTGACACTTGCTTTCTTGCTTTCTGTAAAAAAATGGTATGGCAAAATAAAACCTATGGATTAATGGATTGGAAAAAGATAAAAATAACTTTGATTAGCAAAAATGTAAGTACCTTATCATTTCTACAACAGTAGTGGTGATAGTTTCAATGTCCAGACCTGCCTCTTCTGCCTCTGCTAGGCAAGCCTGCCTCTCCTCAGAGTCAACAACGGTTGCTAGGAAGGACGCATAGTTATTAATCTGTTCTTCTTGAGGCAGCTGTGCAACATAGTGGGCAACAAGTCTTGGATCACGCATACTGATCAAATACTGCAAACAGAGAACAAAACACATAAAAACATGAAATTTTGACAAGCTACTGTAAAATCAACAAAAGAAAAAGAAACAGACCTTAACATATGCCTGAATGACATTGTCACCAGCAAGATCACTATGTCCTAATAATCTGAGAACTAGAACCAAGTGTGCAAAGAATCGCAGCATCTGAGGACCACAATCTAAAGACCATTCTTCCATTCTATTTAACAAAGGTCCTATTTTCTCAAGAATCAGTAATTCTTGAACTCGATGGTCTGGTTTGCTAGCATCTTCTCTACAATTTGCATGTTTTCCTAATTGCTCAAAGATTTCTTCTAGTGTTAGCCTGAATGAACAAGCAAAAAGAATATTACACCAAAACAAATCATTATTTAAGGTTTCAGACCAACAAGTAATGAATAATAACTTACTCTTTTTGCCAGTACTTTTCAGGCATTTCAGTGTATTCTTGATAAAAACCTAATTGAGAACGAATTTCTGTCTCGACTCTGATATCAACAAGAACTCTGAGGTAAGCCCACAATACATCCTGCCACTTCTGACACACCGGCAGAAGGGCATCTAGATTACCACAAAGTGCTGCTTGGGTTGCCCTGGTGTACACCGGCATTTTGTAATCTTCTGACATCCGCCAAGCACAGACCTTCCATATATCTCTGAAAACACAAAGAGTCACTTAAAAACAGCACATGACAAAAATATACGAACGACAAGCAGGCTTGACAACTAATGGAATTATTACCTATTAGGATTTCCTTCAATGGGCATTTTGGCAAGCTGAGTACCAGCAGTAGGCGCAGATTCATAGTTGGGGTCATGGAGGAGCCTCCAGCCCTCAAGTTCTGCCGCCCTCCATGGTTGGCCACAATGACAACACAGCAGTTGAGCAGCATCCAAACGACCACATCGTATTTCCGCAAATATTTGTTGCATAAGTCGAGCCTCATCTTCCTACAAAACAGGAGGGTAAATTAAGTATCAAGAGCAAGAGACTGAGACTTATCAATAGAAAACTGTTGATTCTTGGAATCACCTTAAGCTTACCCAATCTAGATCATGCAGTGATCGGTTCTCTCTGACAGGAGCATCTGGGTCAAGGCGAGAAACAATGCTTTTGCTGGCACCATAAGCAATACTTGTATCTCTCTCCTTATTCATTTTGAGTTGCAGGAGGGTATTTTCCCAAGCAACAATTTTGTCAGTGAAATGACCAATCTCAGGTCCCCTAATTCCATTTTGTTATCAGCTGCACATTTCTCCAACCAATCAATGACAAGTTGGCACTGAAATAAAAACTAACTTAACAAACACCAGAACCACAATATTTGGAAGTACTTACATCCTTAATAATTATTGTTTTTACCTCTCTCACTACTGGGTCATTCTCATAAAGCTGGTTTACAACATCTTTTTCACTTGGATGCTGTTTAAGGCAGCTGCTAAGTCTATCATCATCCATCACAGTGCACTGTCCATTCTCTGGAGAATCAAGTGCAGCACGGTGCCGAGTACTCAAACGGTTTTGATACAGGCAGTAAAGAAGCCGCCAGGTATTCCGCTCGTTCCTCAGCCACACAAGATCCTAAAAGACATAAGAGAATATTAGAATGTTGTTATTTGGGAGAGCCATATATAAAGTAGATACTTAAGAAAAAAAAACAACATAGGGTAACCTTGTGGTCTTTGCCCTTTGCAGCAGCCTCTTCTTGGAGGACATCGAGTGTGTCAGTGCAATTTTGGATAAAGTCTCCAACAATATCAAAAACTTGTTGCTCTGAACCATGAGTGAGGAAACTTTCAAGGAATTGGATGTGTAGTCTGTCCCAGGCTAAAAAGGACAAGAAGAAGAAGAAAATGAATTAATTAAGCTGCTACTGAGACACAAGAAGGCCTACCGTGGCGGGGAAATAATGACAAGGTTTACTTACTATCGGACCAATGTCCCTGAGAGAGGGTTTTGGAGAGCACAGACTGGTTTCCAAAAAGCTCAAATTCATGTGGAGCAAGAGTTATGGAGACATCATGTAGAAGTTGTGGATTTTGAGGCAAAGGACGACGTACAGCTGAAGTTACGCTAAGTCTCCCACTGGCCATGCCAATAATACTTGCATCCAGGCTTTCATCTAAATAAAATATTTAGTAAGAAGAGAGATTTAAACATAAATGATTCTTTCAAACTAGATGTATCATACCTCTTGCACTCGTATTCAGAGCACCTAAAGAGCTACGAGAAAAGTTAACAGAGCGCTGCAAATCTGGTCTGAAGGAAGGTCTTCCACTAGAGTTGGCCAAAGCACAATCAAGAAGACGCACTGAGTTTTCTAGGTCTTGAAGGCCTCTGCTAGGTATGGATGACATTTTACATGTAATGTTGTTGCTCAACAGTCATCGGGAGAAACCTGCAGCAGATACAGAACCAATGTATACCAACCATCACCTTTCAAAGTTAATGAAAGAAAAGACGAATACTTTGCACAGTAAATTAAGAGTTTCAAATTTCAGTCAAAATGACAAAATACTAATTAATATTGTAAACAATGTGTAGAGGCCTTGAAGGCAAACCACAAAACCACAGAAATTAACGACGATGAACACTTTGATGAGTAAAGACTAAATCAATTTAAATCGCTACAAATTTCAGTAACAATAACTGATTCTTCACTGATATGTCCTGTGCTTGATTACACCATTTGTTCAAGAGGTTAGCCACCCACAAGGCCGGTCAACTGAGTGTAAATATTAAACAATAAATGGAGAATTTTGTCCATTCCATTTTACCTACCTTGATAATGAAATTAACAGGTGTGTTCGGCTTTTGTAGACACAAATGTGGTAAATTCTAAAGAATAGATTGCAATTTAGCGGCTTTTCTAAGCGCGGGTTGTTGAATGGCTTGAATAATGTTGAAGTTTTCTTTTTGCTTTTGTTGTTCTTCCTTGCCATTCCATTCATATTCATATTCGATTTTGGAGTATATGAGAAAGTTACGTGGAAACAAAACAGTATTGACAGCACTAGTGTGTTATGTTTTGGTTCACGTTCTGGCAGCAGCAACTTGCTGCGGAGATAGCTTGTTGCTTTTATTTGTGTTGTCACTCATTTGAAGTGGCTTAACCGAGTTTTTAATTATTTAATTGTCATAATACAGTGCCCTTAGCTCGTATCATTCGCATTGCTTTCATTCTTTTTCGCATATCCTGCTGGTTTGGGAGCGATGCTGTTTGGTTTTGAGGTTAAAGGAGACAGGCGCCAATATGTTTGGGTTAGTAGTTGTTAATTTATGCTGTCTTTACGTTAAATGTATCATCAACTTTGTATACACTTATCACTAACCATTTTTTTCTCACATACCCTATAACTATGTATTCATTTTAAAGGGGTTATAACGGCAAAAAAGATGAAAAATTATATCTTCTGGAGCCAGTGGTTGTATTGGAGAGACTGCGGGAGGTGTGTATCAGTGGCTTATTAATTATCTGTTGAATGGAACCCAAGAAATTGCACAACTCTACTCTCTGCTTTATAAATTCCCAACTTTTATCAATACCTCTTGTTGTTTTCATTAGAAACATGCCGTAAGAAGTGTCAAAAGAGGATCCTCCGGTGGAAACGCATTTCCATCATTTGAAGGTAGTGGACGCAAGTACGGAAAGGTGAGAGGACGCCGGTACAGGAGGAAGAAAACCACCCGTAATATTAACACACGGATCTTAAGAGAGGGAAGAAATGCCTCAGAAAGTTCGAATCACCTTGAACAATCTGATAGTTGCTCAAGTCATACTAGAAGCCACAGCCATCACAAGAAATCACCAGTACAGGCACCAGAGAAAAGAAGTTTAGTGGAACAGGATCCAGAAAAAAGTGTAGTGGAGCAGAGTCTGGAAAAAAGGAGTATATTGGAACAGGTTTCAGAGAAACAAAGTATAGTGGAACAGGTTTCAGAAAAAAAAAGTATAGAGGAAGAGCGACCTCACAAGTGTGCGCAATGTGAGGAACGGTTTCACACTAGTATTCTGTTAGCTGTTCATAAAAGGATCCACAATATTTCTGAAGATGAAAGTGAGGGTAATGATGATGTCGACGAAATAGCCAATGTACATGATATTATTCATGAGAATAGAACCAAGGACCCGTCTTTAGCAATATCATCTGATCTGGAAAAAAATCATGTAACTGAAAGAACAGAAACATGTGAAGTCAACAAAGATCCCCCATCCACTGTTTTGCATATTCCTGAGAGAGATAACTCTCGGCAAAATATTAAAATCTTTGAAGATCAAAACAAGGATCTGTCAATATCTTTGTCTTCTGCTCCTGAGAAAGAGAAAGAGTTCAAAGTACCACATAGGGATCATGATTATGCATTAAGTGCAGACAAGAATCCTGCTCTGAAAAGGTAATTTGTTGTAACCTTTCTAGTTTTTGTTGGTTTCTACAAACCTAGCTAACATCTGTTTTAACTACATTTTTCCAATAGAAAAGAAGAAAAGAATAAGAAACGTAAAAAAAAGAATGGCCTAGCTAATAATAGTGCACTATTTACCTGTAATCAGTGCCCTGCATCTTTCTCTCGCTCCTGGTACCTTCAGCTTCACTTGATCCTTCTTCATTACATTCATGGGAAGGACACCTTCATTGAGTGCCCAGGCTGCAAATCTCTTTGGGAGAAAGAGGACACTCTAAGACAGCACATAGAGAACAGCCATAATTTGGTACGAATTTGTAAAACAAATTATGCTTACTAACAGTAGATTCAAGTTATTCTTTACCCATTACCCTTAGTCAAATCGTTTCTCAACATTTTTATTTCTCTTTTTATGTTAGGACTTGGCAGTAATGAATGGAGAAATAAGCTCATCTTTGCGGGTTCCAACAGATGCTTTGACTGGAGAAAAGTGAGTATTTTTTGTTCTAGAATTAATGGTGGGAAATGTTGCTTTATGCTTTTAATGTTAGTTAAATACGATCAAGTACTAATGTTCATCCATCCTTCCTCGATTTTTGCAGTAAAAAATTTGCAAAGAAGAAGGTTTTTTCTCAAGGATGTCCTGCCAAACCAATTTCTTTTGGGAATCAAAGAACTGCCTGTGATTGGAAAGAAGCCACATCTTTTCAGAAAGATGAAATTATGGGTTTGGTGGAATCTGAACTGAGACATGTTGTGTCAGAAAGGAATAAACTTGGAGATCACCTAACTTACTGTGATGTTCAGCGTTTGGGGCTTGAAATTGCCCAGTGTCTCCGTGTCTCTGATTTTTTTAATGGAAATCCAACAAAGCGATGGGCTCAAAAAATACTAGGCTCTGTAGGTCAAATTCCTAGACCAGGAAAATTTAGATTTGTTCATAATGTAAATGCATGTTATTTAAATGCAGTGAGTAGTTTGTCAAAACGTGGCTTATCAGAAAGCACTGTATTTTATGCATTTGAGGCAATTGTTTGCAGCGTTCAACAAAACCAAATTGTTCAAAGATCATGTGGCCATGAAGTCGAAGAAGATTCTATAACTGCAATTTTTAGTACAAATGCTAATGGCACTGTGCTTTTACATCCTACATTTACTTATCGAGGACAAATAACTGATTATAAAAATATCCATACCTTAGAGCTACCATCTATCAAAACCCCTCCTAAAGATTTTTTTGAATCTCCAAATTTTCGACAATGGTTTGCTCAGTTTCTTATTTCTATACCTAAGACAAGACCAGTTTTGTTACTTGTAGAGGGCGATGTATCCCAGTTGTCATATTCCATTATTCTAATGGCACGAGAAAACGATGTACACTTTGTCTTTCTACCTAGTCGGAAGCGATTTGTGCATTCTCATCAACTAATCCGTAAATCACTTGTCTCTCCTTTGGTTGAATCCTTTGAGAGTGAACTTGAAAAGTTCTTGAGATCCCACAATGCAAAATCTGTGCATTTGTAAGTCACTGGACTCAATCAAAATAATCTTTTGTTTTAACATTTTGTTCCTATTTTATTCTCTTTTCTTTTTTCTTTCACCTATTTCTAGACAATATTTTGAAGGCATATTTGACTCTTCTTGGGATGCTGCTCTACAAAAAGCCGAAATATCCAAGAGCTTTCTCCAGTCGGGGTTCTTGCCCCTTCCTCAAACTATTCATCCTCTTGAAGAAGCGGCAAGAGAATATTTGGATGTAGTTCTTCACTCAAAAGGAACTGTGTCTGGAACAGATTCTTCTCATTCAGAGATTCAGAGCGATGATGGCACATCCGTAAGTAAAACTGCAACATTTTTCTTTGCAATTTTATTTCAATTCACCCCCTAATGTTGTTTTGCATCTAGGTAGTACTGGTCAAACCTAAGACCCGCACTGTGTGGCAAGATCCTTCATTGTCACTTCCGGAGTGTCAAGTAAAGCTTGAAACTGTTCAAGACACTTCTGTAAGCATTGAAAGTGGTAGCTGTCCTTTGCCTTTTAATGTAAAGGAAGAACTTGGGGAGGAGCTGATTCTTCCTGAAAATGATGCAGCTATTGACTTGATGTCTGAGGTGAAACAAGAACCAGTGGAGTACATCCCTGAAGAACCACCATTGCCAATGCCTGATGGGCTTGAGAACTTAAAGCTTGAGTGTCCCAACTGCAACCAATTTTTCCACACTAATGAAGACTTAACCACACACACGTGTACTGAGGTGAGCAGTTTTTTAATGGTTTATTTTACAGTGATTTGCTGCTTGGGTTTGAACATTTTATTTTAAGGAGTCTTGTTTTATTGTCTCTAGGACTCTGCCAATAATTATTCATGCCCAACGTGTGATGCAGAGTTTGCAGAGGAAGGGCAGCTTTTGAATCACAATTGTGACAGTTGCAATTCGGATTTGAGTAACTCTGATGAGTTTGAGTTGCATACATGTCATATTTGTAATATGTCGTTTGCGTTGAAGGATACTCTTGAGTTTCATATGACAACACACCAAACCAAGCGGTATGTTTCAATGCATTCTAATAATCTGGGTACTGATGTTAAATGGATATAGTTTACGGGAATTAATCTATATTCTTTTGTAGCCTTGCAAGCCAAGGATTGGGGACTGTGACTGGTGAAGTGTCTTTGTCAAATACAAGTGCATGCCGCAAAAGAGTTTTCGAACATGTAAGCTCTTCCATTGATCATCGGATTCCATCTAAATTGCCCAAACAGGTATGCCTACAGTAGTTAGGACCAGATAAACTGAGACTAATTTCTAGCCCAACATTCCCTCTCATTGCAAGTTTTACTGTCATGTTTGGCAGGTTTCTTTTGAATTAAAAGACACCAATTGTTCCGGAAGGCAAATTTCTCCAGCTTTGTCCTCTTCATCAAGAACGGCTTCACCTTCATCCTCCACTTCCTCCAGAACATTGACTGCATCGCCATCTGATATATGGGCTCATTCAGATGATGATGGTATGTTCAATTACCTTCTACGGTGGTTTTGTTGTTGTTAGTAATTCATAAGTTCTAAAATGTGTATATTACCTCTGTTTTTAGCTTGTTTGAAGAAAGATGCAGATAAGGGGAACACCAATCTAGTAAATGCGCCTGTTTTATCGAACTGTAAAACGTCCATTCCAATCCCAAAACTGACACCATCCCCTCTTCCTGATCACGACTACCTTGGCCAACAGTGCCGGAATGGCACAAATTCAGCCTTCACTTCCAGTCCCAAAAAACCTAGAGAACCTGAAGTTTGTGCGGAAAAAGGTGGAGCCAGTGCGCCCTTTTCATCCATCATCATCACTAGTCATAATCAGTCTACAGTTTTGTCCAGGAAGCAGACAAAGAAGGTCTTTCGACGAATACAACTTGTTTGTGCTGAATCAAATTGGCCAAGAGACTAAGTAAATAATGATTTTTATGAATTCTTTGTTTTTGTTATGATTTTGTTTTGATTGCATATCACATAAATACTGTACCTTTGTTTTGTATGTTAAAGAGATGACAGTGAGTGAGTTTTGTTATGGTTTTGAATCAGCAGTGTGTTCATTAGATTTCCCTTATATTGGTAATCTATAGTCATTAAAGTGATTTATAGTCATTATAGATGATTTTTTTCTAAACTTCATTTTCCTGTTAGTTAAGTTAATTTTCATAAAAGTGAAATATAATGAGTTAATGTATTTTGGAAACCTCAAGTGCCTCTTAACCACTTTGAGGGACAATGTGGCAAGGAGGTATGTCTTGGCCATATGGGAATAAAGGCAAAATGATATACACTGTATGTTGACAAACATTGTATTATATCACAGTTGGTTTGTTAATGGTAAACATGATGGTTTGAGCGATGATGTCTGAGGTCATGGTGATGAACTTAAAGTTAAAGCTTAGACAACTACACTTACAACAACATTCCTTATCAACCAACACAAATAAAATGACACAGATGCAAGTTGTAACTCCTCAGATGGTCACATGCACGTCGATCCTTAGTTAAAATTGTACACTCAAGTTGACAAAAAAAAAAAATGCAACTGCAATACGTCTGGGGAACGGGCATTCCCTTATGATTGATTGGAACTGGCAACGCACAGTGGGTGACGTGACCCACTGTAGCAGCCGTGCAGCCCAGAGGGAAGACATCCGTCCCCCCAGCGCCACGGACATGGATCACACATGGCCGAAATGAACGCCTAAGCGAAGCAGCGCGAACGGCAGTCTTTTCCCGCGGAGAGCGGCCTCCCTCACAACTTGTAGGACGTCTTCTCCTCGCCGGCAGCCTTGTTGTAGTTGTTGTTGTTGGACTGTGGCGCCGGCAGCCCCGGCAGCTCGCCCTTCTGGCCGGCCACCTCGATGACGCACACTTGCGTGGCCTGCGGCTCGTGCTGGGGGTCGGTGAGGTCCGGGATGTCCTTGGAGTACAATGCCCTCGCGAACAGCGCCAGCAGCAGCATCTCCACCAGCATGGCCGTGTTGTACATCACTGCAACATGGGGTGGGGGTGGGTCAGAGAGGGGAAGCCCCAGGAGGCACGGCGGCGTACTGCAGGCTGATTCAGAGAGTCGTTTTCCGCCGATGTCTCTCTCGCACTCATACGGCGGTCCTTACAGGTGCGAGAGAGACAGAGCGAAAAAGACGACTCTCGGAATGAGCCCGCTGGCCCACTCCAGCGTACTCACGGTTGGCGTAGACAGCGGGGGTGAGCGGCGGGTTGCAGGGCAGCACGTCGTACCAGGCGAGGGCGCGCGCCGCCAGCCCCTGGAACTTGGCGAGCAGCAGCACGGCCTGCAGCGCCACGAACTTGCCCAGCACCAGGTGGCCGGCCAGCACCGTGCTCAGCATCTTGATGGTCATGAGCAGGCCCCAGATGCCGGTGAGGATGGACACGACGACGATGGGCTGCAGGTACATGTAGTTGACCTCGTACAGGCTCTCCTCCTCGGCCCACATGACGAGCAGCGCCAAGTACAGCAGGCCCTGCACCACGGGCAGCTGCAGCACGAGCACGCGCAGCAGGCACACGTTGCGCCTGGAACAGAGCAGTGTAGTCACCGAGCGCCAACGCCCGCGGAGTGGAGCAGACCCACACGGGGCGTCCCGTGAGGGTGCGAGAGAGGCAGAGCGACGACAGCGACTCTCGGAAAGAGTCTGCAGCAGAGCGGGCGTACGTACTTGTTGACCGCCAGCATGGGCAGCAGGCAGCACGGCCAGCAGCAGCAGGGGCCGACGCGCGGGTTGAGCGAGCCCGGCTTCACCCTGCGGATGAGCTCGGCCTCGCCGCCGCAGTACGCGACCAGCAGGCACCACAGCTGGTACACGGCGGCCATGAAGACGCCCTGCGTCACCGCCTCGGCGAGCAGCTGGGCGCGCGGCACGATCACGGCGCACAGCGTGGCCAGCGCCACCACCTGCGGGAGGGTCTCGGTCAGAGGGGCGGTTCGAGAACCGTTTCCGCCGCTCTGTCTCTCTCGCACGCGTGGGGCGTTCCTTGTAGGTGCGAGAGAGACAGAGCGACTGCAGTGTGTGCTGCGTACCGGGTACACGCTGATGACGAAGGCGGAGTGCGTCTTGGCGGCGGCCGGCACCGTCCGCGTCAGCACGCGGCGCAGCGTGTCGGCGTACACCAGCAGCGTGAGCAGCACGACGAGCACCGCCACGGAGAAGAGCGCCTCGCCCAGCGAGTCGATGGCTGCAACAAGTGCAACGGCAAGTTCAACGGGGACGCCGGTGACTCTGCGGACCGATTCCGAGCTTTGTCTCTCTCGCACCTCTTCGGGGGCGGCCCATGAGTGTGAGAGAGACAGGGCTCTCGGAATCAGTGTGCCGCGCGTTGTGTACCCTGTACCCGCGGTGACGCCATGCCATGCCATACCGACGTCAGACGCTTTTGGAGGCCCTGGAAACCTAGCCTGCGGTTTGGCCGCAACGATTCCGGGACGGCGGCGCGGGCGGCGCGACGCCGCAGGACGGCCACAGCCAGCGCACCGCGCACCGTCTCCCGCAGAGGTCGGCGTCGTCGCCAGCGCAGCGCGGCGGCCGCCAAGATGCGCCAAGACGAAGGCGCCCTTTTCGAACCACTCGCACCGTGTGTGCAGTGTGCAGCTTGCGGCAGTGTGCTCTCACGCTTCCGTACACACACACACACACACACACACACACACACACACACACACACACACACACACACACACACTGACGCACCTTGACCGAACCAAGACAAATAATGCCGGCCCCGCGGCGAGTGGCTTCCACACGTCGCTTGCGCTCGCTTGCGCTCGCTTGCGCTTGCGCCCTCTGATTGCTGATTGGCGTGAGAGTCGGCGGGTCGCGTGCCGCGCTCGTCTTCGGCGCTCTCCTGGAGGAGACTGACTCCACGAAGGCGATTCGTCGCTCTGTCTCTCTCGCACCTGCGAGGGCCGCCGGCATGAGTGCGAGAGAGACAGCAGCGCGGTGTATGGAATCAGTCGCGTGGCTCTAGTGTTCTCCAGTGTGTCCTCCGGCGTCGTCTCCCATTTCGGCGCTTCTTCGAGGCGCAGGTCGGCCCGGTCCGGTCCGAGGCGCCGCGCGCAGCGTTCACTTTCACCGAGGAGCGGCGCGGCGCTGCGGCGGGTACAAGGTCGCGGCGTCGCGGCGCCCTGGGAGGGGCACATGTCGCAGCAGAGCGCACAGTAGAATGATTCCGAGAGCCGTTTTCGTCGCTCTGTCTCTCTCGCACTCATATGAGCTGCAATGTATATAAGTGGGAGGGAGAGCGACGGAAACGACTCTCGCAATCAGTGTGGAGAGCACAACAGAGGCCTGGAAGGGACGAATCTGCACCCGGAGAGCAGAGCAGGGCACTTTGGTGGGAAGGCGGAGCTGGGGCCGGGGCCTGCCTCCGTGGCCCATAGTGCGGCCGCCATCACTGACAGTGTGTGTGTGTGTGTGTGTGTGTGTGTGCGCGTGCGCGTGTGTGTGTGTGTGGTGTGTGTGTGTGTGTGTGTGTCGTCGCTCTCCGTCCTCGCCCTCGATCGGGCCGCCGTGGTCTCAGACAACAACGGCGAGACAAAGCGGCTGGATCGGAGCGGACGTCCGGGTGGCACGTCGCGTTGACGGGGACCTTGGGGCCGAGTGGAGGACTCTGCGCTGCCACGCTGCGCGACTTGATCATCGGAAAAGCGCGAGCGTTGGGGAGCGCCCGGAGGGTGGGCCGCCCCGTCACGCAGGCGAGTGCGGCGGTACAGCCTACCCGCCGCATGGCAGGCGCTTCGGCCGACGGGGAGCGCCCGCGTGCGGACGCCGGGGAAGCGGCAAAGGGTGGGTTATGTCTCTCTTCCTGGCGGCGGCAGGTATCCAAAGGCCGAAGAGGTCAATTGTCCTTCTGGATCCGCGCTCGAGAGGGTTGCGCCACCGACCCTTAACCTCGGGGTCAGTATTCTTTGCACTTTTTCGGTCTATTTATTTTTAAGGTCTCTGAAAGGTCACATAACTTGTAAATATAGAGAGACCGCTATCCTTACTTGTATTGTTTTACAATGGTGTTGGTGCTGCGGTGACCTCTGTGCCGCTTGCCGCCTGGCGCTTGGCACACTACTAGGGCAGGCCAGCCGTTATTACGCGTGCGGGGCCGCGTGCCGCGTGACGTCACGCCGTCACCGGGCGACCGGTTTTCGGTTTGGCACGCCGCGGTCCGCCGGCCGGTCCGTGGCCTACTTCCTGTGGGCCTGCGGGGCTGCGGGGCTGCGAGCGGAGCCTGCACAGACAGATTCCGAGAGTCGTTTTCGTCGCGCTGTCTCCCTCGCGCCTACAGGGAACGCCCCATGAGTGCGAGAGAGACAGCGCGACGAAAACGACTCTCGGAATCGGGCTGCAGGCGGAGCCAGGCCAAGAGCCAGGCGGAGCGAGGAAGCCAGCCGACCTGACGGCGACAGGGTAAACACAAGTGTCCGGCCGGCACGGGGACTGCGACCGGGACCGACCGGAGGTGTGAAATAAAAGCCTCGCAACGCGCAGCAACGCGCAACGGGAAAGGCTCCGTCGCTTCGCAAGCTTCGCAAGCCAAATGGAGTGCAACGCGCCGCGGGTGTGGGGTATGGCGAGGCGCACGCACACGCACGCACGCGGCGTTGCAGTAAGCGGCCGAGGCACGCACGCGCGCGCGCGCACACAACCGCACACAAGAAAAGTTTCGCGTTGGAACAGGGACCACGACCCTCAGACAGCAGTGGTCCGACCACAACTCGGGCGTTCAAGTCTCCGTCGTCGATGTGCGACGGTCGGCGACGGTCCCTTTCCAGAAGACGCGTGACTCGACGACTCTGATAAAGGCTTGAAAAGACAGCGGTGCGACGGCCGGCCAGCCCGAGGCGCCTTGCCGACCCGATGGTGGCGCAAGTTGCGCGCTATCACAGTAGGACACTGAACTGCAGAGCACTGAACTGCAGGCGAGGGGGTAACGACTTCGGTAATCCGGCTCACAGCGCCTCGTGGTTAGCTTAACCCAGCGGTTCCCAACCTTTTTCGGTTCACGACCCCAAATTTGTTCCCCTCCTTTAGCATGCCTTTGATACAAAAGGCGATAATCCGCTTTAGTTTAAAAGCAGTAGTGTCTCAAAGTTGATCAAAACCGTCACAAATGTCGTTGAAAAATCGTGTTTTAGGCCGACTTTAAGCAGCCACGGCGTCTCATCCGAGGCGGTATTTCGTCCTCCCTCAACGGGCAATTGGTCTTTGGACCTTCCTTTAGCATGCCGTTGTTACGGAGTGCGATTATCTGCCTTAGTTTGGGAGCAGTATTGCCGCAAAGTTGATCAAAACGGTCACAAATGTCTGAAAAATCGTGTGTTGATCAACTTTGCGGCAATACTGCTCCCAAACTAAGGCAGATAATCGCACTCCGTAACAAAGGCATGCTAAAGGAAGGTCCAAAGACCAATTGCCCGTTGAGGGAGGACGAAATACCGCCTTGGATCAGACGCAGTGGATGCTTAAAGTCGGCCCAAAACACGATTTTTCACAAACAGCCAGTGGAAATTTTTCGCTACAAATTTGGGGTCGCGAACCGAAAAAGGTTGCGAACCGCTGCCCTAACCGCTCGGCCATGCCCGCGAGCACGATGCGAGCCCTGTTTAGCACGCGGTGCGTGGCGTGGCGTCTGCCGTGTCGGGGACTCGCGCGCCCCGGCGCGCCCACGGTGACTTTGGCACTGGAACCGAGGCGACGCAACACGCCGACACATTAGCCGCCTTACCTCCCGGCACACTGTCGCTCTCTCTCTCTCTCTCTCTCTCTCTCTCTCTCTCTCTCTCTCTCTCTCTCTCTCTCTCTCTCTCTCTCTCGCACACCTGGGGCGTGCCATGAGGGTGCGAGAGAGACAGACCGACGATGCAACTTCGGGATGGTTCGGCTGGCGCCGTGCCGCGCGCCGTGCCCACCGACGGACAGAGAAAGCCATCATACGTATGGAGGCGCCTGACAGCGTGGATGCGCTCAACGCCTCAAATGAATTTCAGAAAATAACTTCGTCACTTTCTCACGGTGTTCCTGGAAGAAGAAAATGGTCCCTCCCCTCCACCACTGCACTGCACTCCCTGCGGGCGTCTTCCTCGCTATGCAGGTGCATTGTACATCTTGGTTGCAGCCGGAGAGGGGGGAAGGGGGGGGGGTGACCCACCGGTTGCGCAACGCCCTCGTCTGCAGGGGCCCAGGCCGGGCCCCGCGGGGGGAGGCAATGACCCTTCAAGTGATCGCTCGCTCGCTTGGAAGCCCTCGGTGTTTTTATCCGCCGCGTCGACGGCCGCGGCGCACCGTGTGAGGCTCGGCAGCAGAGCGGAGCAGAGCAGCTGGACTTCGGCCAGTCCGGGTGAACTTGGAAACAGGCACAAGGATCCAGCCGCTGGATGTCGAAACAAAAGCTTGACCGCCGTGACGGGGCATGCCCCCCCCCCTCCTCTCTTTTCCCTCTGAAACCCGTTCAGGACCGCGGTACTGGCGACGGGTAAGTGGACAGTGGACGCAACTGCACCAAACAACTATACGCTAAACATCACGCGGCGAATTTTCACAAAAACAATTTCTCTCCTTTTAATTTAATTCTATTTTCTGCAGCCATGTTTTGGTAGTGGAGGCAACTATTGCCCTTGATTTTAGCGCCTCCGTGGCGACATTGGCCAAATTTGAATTGGCGAGTGCGCCGCTCGCTGGCGCCGGGAGAGAAAGAGGGGGGGGGGGGGGGGGTAGCTCCCGCCGCGCGGCCGCTGTCGAAACGAGTGCCACGGCCAAGCCGCCGAGCGAGCCACCGAGCAAGCCGCGAGGCACTCAGCGGAACCTCGTTGCACAGAACCAAGACCAAACAACGGCCAGTTTTATTGTCTATTACACGACCAGTTTGAGTTTGAAAACATCATCATCTCCTTGGCTGGCACACAACCTGCACCGAAAGGATGTCGGTGTCCTTCGCCCTTTCCGTTCCCGCGGTTCGAGTCGCCGCACAGTGGGCCAGAAGACCGGCGGAGGCGGTCAAAATCCCGGACGCGTCATGAGCTCCAGAGTCGCTAACCATAGGACTCGAACCGAACGTGTGACCCCACCAATGGATTGCTCTCCGAACGAGGAGTCCATTGGTGGGGCCACACGCTCGGTTCGAGTCCTGGTAGGCGACTCTGGAGCTCAAAACGCGTCTAGAGTTTTGGACGCCTCCACCGGTCTTCTGGCACACTGTGCGCCGGCGACCAGTCCGGTCAAGGGCCGCCGGGGGAATTCCCTCCGGCACTGCGGGGCACTGACCGGCGGGGTCGCGACCGCGCGCCGCGGTGGCCGTCAGGGGTCCTTGTCGTCCTTGTCGTCCTTCGCGTCCGTCGCCGCGGACCGCAGTCCCCCGGGCCCTTCCTCACCTCCACGCACGCGGCACGCGGCACTGGTGGCGACGCGCTGTCTAATTTAATGGCTATGGTGCGCCTCCACGCCCCCGGCGGGCCACCCAGTGCCGTGTGATTACCTGCAGACTGATTCCGAGAGTCGTCTTCGTCGCTCTGTCTCTCTCGCACTCATGGGGCGTGTCGCACAGGAGCGAGAGAGACCGATAACGACTCTGGGAATCGGTCGGCGGCGAGTAGAGCTCGTCGCGCGCATCCACGCCGTTTGGTATTTGTTTGTTTGTTGGTGTCGGCGTTATCGTGTTCCCTCGGAGCGTGGAGTGGAGCCGCGCAGCCGCGACGCGGAAACCGAACGGAATGGAAAACGTGACGGAGTACGCCCTCTCGCCGTACGCAGGCAGTACGCGGGGGAGTGCCACTGCCGGGCGGCGCGGCGCGGCGCAGTGAGGGGAACTTCCGCCTGGCGGAGCCGCGGCGCACGGCGCGATGGGCAGCACACGATCGCACACGATTCACGCCTCATTCTGACAATCGTTTTCGTCGCTCCGTCTCTCTCGCACTCATGAGGCGTCCCGTGTAGGTGCGAGAGGGACAGGGCGACGAGAACGACTCTCGGAATCAGTCTGCATGCCGGCGAGTTGCGGATTATGGTCTGCAATTTGCGCGAGGTATGATTAGCCGTGCGCTATCTCGTCGTTTGCCCACGCCGCGGCCGGCCGGTCGGTCAAGCAGGTCAAACGCGACGCCGAGGGCCCTTTTGCTTCGCAGATGACGCACAGTGCTTCGTCGCTCCGTCTCGCTCGAGGCCGTGTGGCGTTCCGCGTGGGTGCGAGACAGGCAGAGCGACGGAAGCTCTGTCCTCCGGGACCAACCTGCCGCAGGCTGCAAGCCCCTTGTTGCATTTTGATTGCTCGATTGCAGCCGGTTGCACCACGATGCACCACCAATGCAGCGAAACACATCACGTGACGCGTAGCCCCCCTCCCCCTTGACAGTGATCCTTCCAGGTGAGTGCGCCACTCAGGTGAGTCACCCCGCCGACGAAACGCGACGGCGAACTTTGGCAGGCAAAAGGCGGGGCCGGGGCTCGAACCCGGATCAGCGCGAATCAGCCTGGCGGACTCGGCGCCACCGCCCGTTCCCCTTGCCCCCCCCCCCTCCCCAGCTTCCCGTCTCGTGCGGCGGGGCATGTAGAGTAGTAGGTGTAGTAGTGTGTGCCGGCCCCGCCGGGGGAGGGGCCGGCCTGGCGGGGCCTGGCGGGGCCTGGCCGAGTGCTGTAAGGGTTACGTGAGCGCAGGACGACGGGTGGGCCAAGGTGGCACCCCGCCACGCCCCAAAAACCGCGACGGGGAACTTGGCGGCAAAAGGCGGGGGCCGGGGCCCTGGGGAACCCGGGCTCGCGGCGAATCGGCCCTGGCGGCCTCGGCGCCTGCCGCCCGTTGTCGTCTTTGTCTCCCCCCCATACGGCAGCCCCGTGCGTGCGGCGTGACAGAGGGGTAAAAGGTGTAGTAGTGTGTGCTGACCCCGCCGTGGGGGGGTGCTGTCCTGGGCCGCCTGCCGGGCCTGGCCCGCCCCCCTTTCGGGGCCTGCAGAGGCTTTTTAACGGTTTACGTGAGGGGCGTTACGGAAACTGCGTTAGCGTTAATTAACGTTAGCGCCACGGCCACGCTCCGTAAACCGCGTTACGTGGACTGTCTTAGGGCGCGGCGCGTTCGTAGGGATTGGTGAAACATCGGTCCCGGTAAACCGAAAACTCGGATGTGCCTCGCCGACAGAAAAAACTGTTTCCTAGAGTCGTTTTTTCTTAAATTCTGTGATCTTTGTTCAACCTTTACGCACCCCCTGGTTGGGTTTAAAGTTTAAGGGGAATAACGGCGTTCTTGGAATCTAAGCTGACGCGTTAAGGTTCTTCGCTGTTAGCCGTCCCCGTGGTTAATGCCCCGGACTACCATTACGAGCGAAATCGTTTTTGCAGTGCAGAGATCACACAACAGCAAGCAAAAAAGGCCCCTAAAAATGGCACAGCAAGTGATGAAACGGGATGTGTCGTCTCGTCGGTGCGGCGTGGGACAGCGGCTAGGGGCCGACGGACCTTACGGGCACGTGGCTGAAAGGTAGCTAGGTGAAGGCTGGCTGAGCGCTTGGCCCAGCCAGGCCCAGCCCGGCCGCTAAGGTGAAGGTCGAGAGAGCGCCGGGCGAGGGGCGGGCCGGGCGCACAGCCTTTTCGGGTGTGAAAGGGGACAGTACACCGAGTACTACGCTGCCGGCAGAGAGAGTCGACCGCGTGTGCGAAGACACTTCCATTCATAGCCACAGCACTTGCACTGATTTCGAGAGCCGTTTTCGTCACGTTTTCGAGCAAGGTTGTGTCATCAGATTTATTTTTCTCGGTGCGCGAAGCAACAGAATGTGTATCGACCGCCGTCTTCGATTATGGAGAGTCGGCTGGGCCGGGCGCGCGAGATGATACGATAAGCGAAGACGGCGTGGCGGCGTGGCAGCCGGGCCCCACTTGCCCACTTGCCCACTCCACTTTACTCGCGCTTCCGTTTCCCTACCGCGGTTTCCTGCGAGTTCCCAAAGGCGGTGTCGGAACAGCAAAACTCGGCGCGCCTATGTTCCTGACCCTTTCCCGACCAAAACAAAAATCCCCCGACTGAGTAAACGCTGTTGTCGTTTGAGGGGTTGCCTGTGCGCAAGTTCGCGGGCATCCGGCGAAACTTTTCTTTTCGTTCGACCGCGTTCGACCGTGGCGTTATTTTTGTGTTTGTTTTTCTTTTCTCTCGGGCGGCCTTGACACACTGTCTTGCCCCGAATCTCGCACCTCGGGCTCTCGTCCTGCGCCTTCTTTATCAGTGCCGTGGAGATTCCGACGGATGAAGCGATCTGCGCAGCTCGAAGTACGGCGCGCACCACACCAGCCGACACCAGCCTTCGCCAGGGGCCGTACCGCGCTGGATCCACCGGTTCCCTTCCGCACACCGAAGTTAGGCAGCGCCGGTCAGTACTTGGACGGGTGACCGCTTGGGAACCCCGCGTGCACTTGGCATCTCTTTTATCTCAGCGTGCATCCGCGTGCCGGGTGGGGTTTCTCGTCTTATTTTGAGTCGGCGGCCGGCGAGCCTGACCCACCCCACACGCTGCCGCCGCGCACGCCGCGAGAGAAGATCAATACGCCTCGCCCAGCATTCGCGGACCTGCTCCGGCGTAGCCTGCATGGCCCCCGGGCCCTGGCTTCAGCCCTGCTTCAGCCCGAGAGACACGGATTGGGGGTGGCTCTCTCTCTCGTTCGCTCACTCTCGGCTGCCACTGCACAGTGAGGCAGAAGACCAGTCGCCGGCGGACTAAACTCCAGACGCGTTTTGACTTCCAGAGTCGCTAAATGGGCCTCGAACCAAGGGTGTGACCCCACCAATGGATTCCTCGTTCGGAAAGCAATCCATTGGTGTGGTCACACGTTCGGTTCGAGTCCCATTCAGCGACTCTGGAGGTCAAAACGCGTCTGGGATTTTGACCGGCTACCGGCCCACTGTGCACCGCCTCGTTCACAGCGCGGTGTGCGGGGAAGTCCGGGTGGTGCCTCTCCGAGGCCCAAGGACGGGCCTTGGAGTCCCGGCGTTCTCAAGGACGAATGCCGAGTGCACCGGAGGCCTGCCCCATGTCAGCTCTAGGCCTTCAGGCTCGCCTCTAGCCTCTAGGCGCCCACCTGGAGCGTCCGGTCCACCTGGCCCTACTCTGCAAGGCCGACGCTCGTTTTAGTTTTTCATATTTTTTTTTTGTCCCAGCTGATTCCCAGCGAGGCCAAGTTCCTTCTCTCGCTGCTGCTGCAGACTGATTCCGACAGTCGTTTTCGTCGCTCCGTCTCCCTCGCACCTGCATGGGACGCCACAAGAGTGCGAGAGACAGAGCGACGAAAACGACACTCGGAATCAGGCTGCAGTGTGCCGGCCGGACATCACTATAAAACTAACGCGCCTGCCCAGAGTGGTTTCCGATCGCAGTGTAGACGCGCTCTGGCTGTGACGGAGACCGACTGAATGCACCGAACCGGCCGGCGACATGAAGAGCGCGATGTGAAAGGGAAATGCACCGAGAGGGAAAGGGGAGGAGAGAGGGAGAGTGCACCGGCAACAACAAGCAAGCCCGCCTAGCCACGCTGGAATGCCATGCCGACCTGCAGACTGATTCCGAGAGTCGTTTTCGTCGCTCTGTCTCTCTCGGGGGACACCCCACGAATGCGAGTGAGACAGCGCAGACAACGACTCACAGTCTGCTAGTCTACGCCTGGGGCTGCGCGGCCCCCACGGCATTTCGAGTAAGGCCCACCAAAGCTCACCTCTGATCGCCATCAGACCGCAGCTTGCAGATTGCCCGGTTCTTATTCGGTTTCCGTTCCGAGCCCGGCGGCTGCCATGCCGGCGCGGAGTGTTGTGATGGGTCCTAGCGTAGTGTAAGTTCGCTCCACCTGTTCGGACCTTCCTCTTTATCGGCTGCGACTTCCACACGGCGCTTTGGCGACTCGGCCTGCTCGGCCGCGCGGCGCGCCCGGACTGCGCCTCCACTGGTCTCCACCGGGTCCGCACTTAAACCCCCAAGGACGCGAGCGACGCGGCCGACGACGCCACGGCGGGCCGGCGAAAAGCGCTCTCGGATCGACCGCCGCCGTCCACGACACTGCTCCGTCTGCACACCAACTCGATTGCAGGGGCGAGCGGGGGCGACGCGTGGCGGCGTGGCGGCGGGGCGAGGGTCTCTAGGGGGCCGCATGTAGGGCCCGTGGAGGACCGTATTACTGTCCAGGCTCTACAATTGAAAAAAAAAAAGCAACCTCAAAATCATTTCATTTCCTAGCCTTTTTTGGAGCCCTTCCACAAAAAAAGCATTAGAAGGCATTATATTTAATTTCCGAAATGTCCTTTAACTAAAGACTTGCCCGTGTTCTTGCTTACAAACAAATGTTTCATCGCTGTTCCTACGCCTATGCCACCTTTTATTCAACCTAAGTCAACATGAGATAGTGCAGCGCAGCACGACGACCAAAAATGTGCCGCTACCCCGCATGTGCAAAGGTCATTGGGCAGTCAATGCGCTGTGGCCACGCCCCGCCGTTGCCCCCGGCCTCCGGCCCCACGCGATGACGCGATTCAAAATACTGTAGTGTGCCCCCCCCCCTTTCCCGCCGTGACCCGATCCCTCGAACACAGTCCGAATCATCCATTTTCACGGTCGATACTCTAATCGCGCGTATTTGTCCCGCTGGCTAGTTTACCCACTCATTATCGTCACCGCCCTCGTGCCGCCCGCGAGGCTCCATGGCATTCACAGTGTGCACACAGGGGGCCGAAGGGGCGATCATGGCAGTGGCTGGGGCAGGGCAGGGCGGGGGGGCGCGTGATCGCGGGCAGACGCGCATCGGTCGCACGTTCAACTCATTACCAGCAGTGCCAGGCCAGCCCTCGTCCTCGGCCTGGCCCTGTACCGAGTCACGCCAAGTGACCAAGGCACCAAGGCACCAAGACACAAAGGCATCAAGGAATCAAGGCATCAAGGCACCAAGGCACCACGTCACCAAGTACACCTAGGCGGCACCAAGTCGCCAACCAATGCACCAAGTCCCTGGCGCAACCCGCTAATGCCGTGCGAGACGTAAAAGTGCCGTGCTGACGCTGCTGACGTCACTGGCGGGACACCGGGGACACCCTGGGTTGGCACCCGGAGCCCCAAGGTACAACTACACTGCTGCAAGGTCGCGCTCTCATTACAGGGGTCGTCGTTACCGTGCCGCTCTGTGTTCGTGTCGTTGGCGCGTCAGAGAATCCTTCAAAAATTGCCGAATTAGTGGAGAAAGTGTTGTTGACACCTTTTCCATTGATGCCTGTGTTGCCGGCAGCGTCCTCCGTTAGCGCCGTCTGGCCGTCCGGGCGTGAAACTGTAATCGGGACTGATGGCTGCGTGCCCCTTCAGCCAGAAAGGATTATCGGTCGTGAACCTCCACTGCAAGGCACTCTGGAAAGTGTCCGTCCCTGTTTCGAAAACACCAAAAACACGTGCACGTGGAGCAGTCCTCCTCCGAAATGCGAAGTCCGTGCCGAGACTGATGGCGGGCTGTTGGCCGCTGCGACGGGCGGACGGCGTGCGAACGGGGACGGACGGGGATGCCGGCGAGGACGAGGAATGGCACCAGCGCGCGTCCTGCCCAGTCATGACGTCTCGCCACTGTGTTGCACTGGCACCGCACTGGAATTCTCGGATGTGCCATGGCACAGGCGTGCCTGCAGTCTGACTCCCATCAGTTCATCGTCACCGTTTCTCTCTCACACACCACTGTGCGCCATCAACCAACTGCTTACTGTTTCCGCGAGTCGCTTTCGTCGCTCTGTCTCTCTCGCACCTACACGAGGCACCCCGAGTGCGAGAGAGACAGAGCGACGAAAGCGACTCTCGGAATGAGTCTGCCGCTGCTAGCCAGCGACGAGGGTCCCGGTCCATCCGCCCCGTCCCCGCCTGTCCGTCTGTTCAACCCCTCGGCGCCGGGCGCGCTGCGCGCTGCGCTCTTCGCCCTGCGCTCGATACCGAGCTAAAGCCAAACCCACCTGCAAAGTACACGGGCAGCGAGGGCACGTGGGCGGAGGGGCAGGCGGCCGCCACGGTGGTGGCGGTGGCGTTGACGGCGTCCAGCTGGAGGGGCCGGGGCGACTCGTTGAGGAGGGCCGCCGCGGCGGGCGAGGACGCCGTCGAGGACATGATGTCGTCGCTCGCGCCCAGCACGTCGGTGTTCACCAGCCGGTACCGCAGGGCGTCCATCGTGTCCATGACGGCCTACCGGAGGCTGAGCGAGGGACGCCGCGACCGCCGCGGACGCTGCAGCACGTCCAGGTCCGCGTTGAGCAGGACGTGGCACACGGTGAGCAGCAGGAGCAGCAGCACCAGGGCCTCGTTGTGGTGCCCGACGGCGTGGCCCGCGGGTGCCAAGCTGTGCACTCGCTCCACGAGCACGAGCTTCAGCATCACCCTTCTCGGTCCACTGCTCGGCCTGCTTGGCCTGCGCGCCGCGAGATGACTGCTGCTGCGCGGAGTCGCTGCGCGCCGCCCGGCACTCCGCCATGAAGGGCCCCCGCCACCACCGCCGTGCCGCCAGCCGGCGGGAAGGCCCTCCGCGCCAACCGCGCCCCCCTCCGCCTCCGCCCCTCCTCCGAGCAGTGCCGTCTCGTCTTGCAACCGGAGTCGGAGAGGGGGCGCAACGTTAACTCGGTTCAAAGAGTAACGTGCCCGCACGCCAGGCTGGGAGGGGAGGGCGCTGATTGCTTTATCAATCTTTCCCAATGACTCCCACCTCCGCAAGGTACCCGGAGGATGGCCGTTAGTTTGGCGATGAAAGGCTCAGCCCTGAATGTGACGAATGACGAATCGGGACTTGGCGTGACAGCGGACACTACCGTGGCCGCGTGGCCGCAGCACGTAAATAAAAGTGTGTGCCCTCGATCAGCCGGCCAGCCGTGGCAGAAACACCCCACTGGCACGGCCTGTGACGCAAGCACTTTGGGTTGCCTGCCGACCAGGCGCTCGTCTCGCTCGTGTACGATTGGTTGCCTACGGACCAGGCGTTCGGCAGTGTACTGTACTTGTCGAAGGCTGGACCGGTTGGTTGAACCTGAGCAGATGGGCCTTACCTTACCCTCCCCGATGCTTCTAAGCAAGACTGTGTCGCCTCCCGCCTCAATTTGCAGCGGAGAATATTTGCAGTGTTCATCGAAATGTCAGGTTTGAAGAAAAGTTTTCTTGCCGCCACAACAATATATCGACCTAGACGACATGAACTCTCGATACCTCGACCGCCGCCATTCACAATCGAACTTGAAGTAGTACAGCTGACGACAACGTTGTTGAGGCAGACCAACGTGTTTTTATTTTGGTTTTCCTGTCAGTGAGTCCTTTATCGGTCGCACCGTGTATGAAGTCGTAGGAAGCCAGGAACTATGTCCTCCCGAGTGATCAGGAAGCTTCACGGTGACAAAGACATCGGCCTGGGCATTCCTGGTGCCTCTTTGGACAGGGATGGCGACTGCGACAGCGATGGCTGTGCGGACAGTCCCGTCACATTTACTGGAGCAACAAAGAAGAAGGCCCACGTCAACCCATTCGATTTGGTTTGTGTCTCATTGCGTACTTCTGATCCCGATGCAACACGCTGGTAGTACTTTCTTTCCTGCAAGGAGGTCATATAACCTTGTTCAGTGTCCAGTATGTTGTTTCGGAATCTTATCTCTCAAGTCTCTTTTAACTTCCCGATCCTTGGGATTTGTTTCATGATGACTTTTCTTGTCATTTTTAAGCTCTATGTGTCTTGTTGGACTCTAGTTGATGCATGTCATATTCAACCTTTTCAATCTTTTCTTGAGATAAATTTTGTTAATGACAAAGGAACGATTATTGATATCACCGGTTATGTTACAATTTACTTAGTTGAAGCCCCAATTTTGTGCCATCCTCCTATAGATTCATTTGTTTGTTTATGCAGTTAAATGATCAATCCAACTCCCCATCAGAATCTGATGGACAAGATGAAGAAAATCATGAAACGGAAGCATCAATCGCACAGGCAGGTCATAAAGCACAAGAAAGTGGAAAGAAAAAGAAAAAAAAGAAGAAGAAGAAGTCAATGAAGCAGCAGCAGAATGCAAGAAGTAGTGAAGACAATGTGGAGGTAATGCATTTTCCCAACGGCTCTTCTAAATGCATTTGCAATTCTTATTTGTGAATCTATCTCTTACTGTTCTTGTTTGACGCATTCTTTTCAGGATGATGAAGTAGAACGATCTGTTAGGGAAGTCAATAGACTCCTTGGCGAGGCCGCTCCAGCCCCCTCTTCACACTATGATATTTATTCATCGGGCAACCACAAATGTTCACTTGGTGTAGAGCATAAACATCTAAATCCAAGTAATGAGCTTAAGCGTATATTTGGATCCAAAATCATTCAAGCTGAAACCAGGTTCGACTTCTTTGCCTATTTGTTCTTTAGTGGTATATGCACATGATATGTAAGTAGAATGCATTTAAAATAATTGTGACTTTCCCGCAAATATGTAAATATAGGAAGAAACGAAACCAAAGAGTTCGCACTCTGAAACCTACTTGGCTAGTGACTGCTAAAGAAAACTGGCAACAAATTGGAAAGCAAGGTAATTTTTCTCACAATTTTTAAAACACCAATCTGATCCTTTTCATTTTTGTTTAGATTTTAAAAAATTTTCATTTCAGGTTTATCAATGAAGTTATTGGAAACCAAGGATGGTATCTCATACTTTACCCTTGATCACAGCACTCTATACATGACTGTTGAAATGAAATTTTTAGATGCTGTAGAAAGTTTGCGGCCTGATAACATTGTGGTAAGTTTTTCAATCCAACTGGTTATTCAGTGGTGGATCCAGGGTGGAGCCTCCCAGAGGGAGGCAAAGTTCCATGCCCCACTCTGCCTGCTTGCTTATTCAAACCAGCTGATATTTTATTTCTGTTTTATTTCCATTTCAGGCTGTTATCAATATGTATCCATACCATGTGAACTCTTTGTTACAACTATCTGACATTTGTCGTCTCAGTGAGGATCTTGCCATGGCTGCAGAGTTGGTTGAGAAAGCACTATTTGCTCTTGAATGTGCCTTTCACCCTTCATTTAATGTTGCATTAGGCACTTGTCGTCTTGATTACAAGAGGCAGCAAAACAGGTGGGAACTCTATCTTCTGCTTTTATTTACTGCTGATTTTTCTTTGCCTTATCTTATGTGTGCTAATTTACCTTTTTTACAGGTCCTTGTATGTTGCCTTATTTAAGCATATCTTATTTGTTGGTGGACGTGCTTGTTATCGGACTGCCCTGGAATTCTGTAAATTACTTCTTGCTCTTGACCCAGAAGAAGATCCTTTAGCAATAGTTCTTGCAATTGACTTCTATGCCTTGAGAGCCAGGGAGTATCAATGGCTTGTAAGTACTTTTGTGAACAATGCTACCTTCTGTTATTTCTGTAGGCTTTTTTTTTCATTTTTTTTAAATTTTTTTTTTTAATTTTTATCTTTTTTGTTTTGATTTGGTTTTAGATTGACTTTTATGAAGAATGGGAGCCAAAAAGAAATCTGTCCCAGCTTCCTAATTTTGCCTTCTCTGTAGCATTTGCTCACTTTCAATTGTCTCTAGCCCAAAATGGGTCTGGTGATACATCACTTGCTGACAAAATGCTGCAGGAAGCTCTAATTATGTTTCCTGGAGTACTTCAACAGCTTCTGGACAAATGCTCTGTTGTTGTGGATTCTAAGATGTCTTCACATTCTTTCTTCACTGTGGATGCAGATAAAAAGTCAGTTAATGGGCACTTCCTACTTTCTAATGCAATACAATACTAGTTAAATTCACTTCTTAGTTAACTGACAATTTTTTTATTGGTTTGCAGCCAAAGTCAATCCTTAGGACAACTCATTCAACTCTATGTAATTCAAAGCTATCATGTCTGGAAAGAACCGGAGCTGTTGCCTTGGCTCCAAAAGAATGCCCATGCTGTTCTTGACAGAGTTAGTGCCAATGACCCAAAGATTGCTGAAGCTGAAAGAAAAAGAGCCATTCGCTATGTTGGAACACCTCCGAGAAATATTTTGAGATACATATTTTTATGTGATAGAAAGGATCTGACACCCCAGGGCCTACCTGCAGTAAGTTTACCTTTCTTGAAAACCAAACATAATGAAATAAATTGTAATGTTGTAGCCACCTTCTACACATGTATTATTCTTTTTAATGATTCATCCCTAATGCTTAATTTTTACCTGCAGAACCAACTAGGACCCATAATGTCTCTGGATCCTTTGCCTCCATTAGACTCTGTTGATCTGTACACTCGTCCACAACGTTCTCGCTTAGCTGTTGAGACAAATGTGTTTACAAATTTCTTCCGGTCCTTGCTACCACACTTCAATTTGGATGAAGCGTAAGTACATGGGTAACTTTTTTAAAATTATTTGCATGTTGCTTTTATTCAGTACTTTTTTTATGCAATCTTTCATTTTTTTGCAGGGAAGCCCTAGTAAATGAGAACCCGGAAGAGGGTCCAGAGGATGGTGGTATGCTTAATGACATCACCCTCAGAGTTGGCACATTGATGGAAAGTGTAAGAGACCTTATGGCTAGTATAACTCATGGTTCTGATGATGCAAATGAATCAGAAGGTGATGAAACTGATACAGCTTGATTTGAAATTATTATAATGACTCAATAATAAATGAAATCTTAGCCATTTGGCTATCAAATGTCAGCCAGGTGATAGGTGTTAATCAATTACAGTTATCATATCATATTCTGTGTGTAAATTTTATTTAGTCAGTTTGGTTGTGTAACATTTCAATTCAACAAAATCTTTGATAATCTGTTACCCTTTATTTTATCTTTTTCTTTCTTTCTTTCCTTCTTTCTTTTCTTTGAAAAATTTGGGGTTTATTTTGGGTTCTTACAATGTTGATGAATAAATAAGATGATGCAGGATTGCTGTTGCTACTTGTCAGTGTGTGACTTGAGCTTATTTTTCATGAAAATGTGAAGCGATATTGCGAACCATAAGTATTGTTTAATTTATGTAGTACCGCTTGTTTGATCTCTTAAATGAATTTGGCGGCGGGAGCGGTGGCTGAAGAACACTTCACTGATAATGTATTCAGTCTGTTCTATGTATTCAATCAACCCTGATAAATTTTTTGTTACTAATCATGTTTTTTTTTCTTTAAAAAATCCATTTAAGTTTTACTGGTTGACCTGTCACATTAACCCTGACTTGGAACATCTTTTATACATTTATGAAAGCATAAATGAAATACCACTGTATGTCCTTGTATGAGCGCAAGAGCGCGAGAACGATGCCCATGAAAGGAGCAGTGCTACTGTACAAGACTGTGAAGTTATTTTGTTTTTTGTTGCTTATTATTATTATGATTATTGTTTTGTTGGAAATTTCTTTACCTCCTCACTGAAAATAAAAGACCTCCTGATATTTATGTGTTGAAACTCTTTGATCAATTCCGTTACCATCACCCTTTTGTATGATCATAATTTATTTGCATAAATGCTGTTTCTTCCGTGGGGAAGTACAGCAGCCCCCAAAAAGCCATCCTTCCACAGCATGGTTGATGCTCTACGAACAATCCCCCACCAACCCCCGCCCACCCCTCCCCCCTCCCCGAAACAGCTCCAAGTGGCCGTGGGAGACGAGAAGACGGACGAAAGTGTCAGTCTTGAGGGCTGACGAAATGCTCATCAATTCAATTTAAAACATTATTTGTAGTTCGCCACTCAAGAAACAAGACATTTGAAGCTAGGCAATACTTTCTAGCGCCTATACAATGGATGTTATACCGCGTGGAAAGTTTGGGTGAGTTCCATCGTTCAAACATGACCAGTCTTTAACCTGCTTCTGCTCACTTCTGCCATTCAAAGCGGGTTAGCAGATTTCATCTACCTTTGTTGTCTTTTTCTGAAGTTGATAATACACCTCGTCACACAATGAGCTTATTGCTTTTCCACTCAAAACTCTGGCTCCCGTCTGTTTTTCCACAAAACAACAGTCTCATCTTGGTGGGCGTAAAGGTTATGTTACCGGTAGAAATTTTGCCTTTCTTTGTTTAAATCTGGATTTCCCAAGTCCCAAAGACGTGATTACAGCATATTTGTGCTGTGCATTATTGTTCAGGAGTGTTTTGAATGATTGTCATGCTGAAATGCATCGGTCCATGATCAGTTTTCTTACATGGTAGTGTCTGCTGTCTAACACTTGAATATTAAGTTTGTTCCCCTTATCTTTTTTTGCTAGGGTCGCCGTCGTCCTTCTGAAACGATCATGCCTCCGAATCCCTTCAAGACCGCCTTCAATGCCTGCCCACCTGTCATCTAGTGGAAATGTTGTCAAGTCAGATTTGGCCGGAGGACCCACCAAAATGGCCAAGAAGAGCATATTATTTGCCGTCTACAATACACCCATGTCCAAGGATATGAGATATTTCAGTCAAGTTTGTGCTCAGCGCCATCTAGCTAGAAATAACCAACTTCTCCGTGTTAAGCCAGTCTCATTTGTCAGTGTACCTTCAAGAGGTGTTGGTATGCTTATTGTGAGGGCAATACGTGGTGTTTTAAAGTTGCGCTACATTGCACTTGGTGGAGCAATTGGTGGGGGCATGAGCCTAAACAAGGTACAGTATCGGTCAAAGTGAGTGTGACTGATTGATCATTAATTCTATTATAAAACTGTTTCATGGAGCACTCCTCTGTTTCTAGTCCTATGAAGAATGGAAGAAAACTCTTCCAGTTCTTCCTGATATGTCATGGCTTGAGCAGTACTATCCAGAATCAGAGAAGATTGATTCAGTTCTCACATCTCTTCAGGATATCAAGGACAAAGTTGTTGGAAATTTAGGAAAAATGGAACTAGGTTTGTGTTGAAGTGTGGCCATTCATCTGCTTGGAATGTTAAACTAGGACTAATTTGACTCCTTCCTTGATAGATCCTCGTTTACGAACTCTAGGCGAAGCAAAAGTTCAAAATTTAAAAGAGTGGTGGGATTTAAAATTGGAGAGTGCTATTGAAGCTGCCAACAAGGAAGATGAAAATGGGAGCCCTTTCAGGATTTTAGGTGGTATGTTTCCATTTCTGTTTTGTTGAACACAATACATGTTATAATCTTATGTTCCTGTTGTAACTTAGTCATTGCGTTTAAATATTATACGAAAAGAAAGTCTAAGCTTAGTGAAAAATTTAAGCATTTCTTAGCCAAAAATTCATGCATTATGTCATTTTTGATGTGTAGATCATTGCTTTATCTCATTTTTTTTTCCATTTCACGGTAGCTTGTCTCTATCTCTCTGCAGAATGTTACCTAGTGTTTAGAGCAATTTTAGTTACGCGACACATCAGCTGAGTCAAAAAAATATCTTCAATGTAGCTTGGAGTCATTACATTAACCTCAAAGGGCAGATTATCCTTAAAAATTTGGACATGTTCATTAATTTAATAGTTTAAGCTTCCTCACTGTTTGACTCGATGCCCCTTTGTTTTCTCTCCCTGTAGGTGTCGAGAATTTGATGAGCCAATTAGGGCAGATTGTCACAGGTGTGTGTTTCAAGAATGCTGTTTCTAATTTGGTGAATTTGCTGATTAAAAATCAAGTATTTTCAGCCTACAATCGCATTACACCATTATTATCCTGAAATTTAATATTGCTCATGTCCAAGCTATTCAAAAACTTGTTGGAAATTAGCTCTTAGTTGACCGTCTTTGTCTCAGTTCTTCTGTACACAATTTGCATGTTTTCAGTACTTGGTCTTATGTCTTTTCTTTGTAGGCCCTTGCTATCCTTTTATTTTGCCATAATGTCCTTATTTGCACTAACTTGGCTTAGAACTATTTTGTAATGAGTGCTATCTCAATAGAAGGCTTTGCGTCAAATATTGGGGAAAAGTTAATTCTGTCCATGTCTCAAATTTTTTTAATTTGTTATTTGCATGCATTAATTCATTTTAAAAATTCTCTTTTAGCAGGGGTTAAAAGTGACATTGTTCTCCATGCTGCCCCTTTCTCTCGGTCTAGTGAGGAGAAGCACAGACAAGGTGAGAAATGTAAATTGGGATGTCTGGCTAAGAACCACCTGTGCTATTTGAGTGGTTGCGATGATCTCGAGTTGATGTTACTGCTCCTTTTTCAATTTCTATCACCAGTGGTTCTTGGTATAAGTAATTGGCAAACCCATTGCTTTATGGCTTTATTTGATGCACAACTGCCTTTAAATGTTTGGCATTGGCTAAGAAATGCACAAAATATATAGCTAAGCATCTTTATGCCTTAAATTTTTTTTTAACTGAATACTACTTGTGTTTTACTTTGCTGAAGTATGAGGAATTATGTACTAAAGTGTTAAATAAATGGCATTTGAAATAGCCTTTCTGGATGAAACTAAGAGCACAATTGGGTTTGTAAATTGTACTTTTCCATTGTATGGGTTACTAATTCTGTTTTGTTTTCATTGGTATTTTATTCAGAGACATCACAGCAACGTTTGGAGGCAATGCAGACAGAACTCATCTCAATACAGCTTAAATATCAAAAAGAACTAGAACGCCTTGAGAAAGAAAATAAAGAACTCAGGAAACAAATTCTTTTGAAAGGTAACAAAGTAGACACCAAGAAACTAAAGGTATGTTAAAATGCTAAATTGGATTTTGTAGAAAAATATTCAGTTTTCAATTTTCTGAGTAAAACATTTTTTTTCCCTTTTTCAGAAATCCCTCATTGACATGTATTCTGAAGTTCTTGATGAACTGAGTGACTATGACACAAGCTATCAAACTCAGGATCACCTCCCAAGGGTAGTTGTAGTAGGCGATCAGAGCTCAGGAAAAACATCAGTTTTAGAGATGATAGCCCAAGCTCGAATTTTTCCAAGGTGGTTTTTCTTTATTATTACTATCCTGAAATTTTATTATTATGAAAATGGATTGGTGTTGAGCATTATCAAAGTCAATTAATTCATTGAAAATTTTGTCATGTTACCAGAGGTGCTGGTGAAATGATGACTAGAGCACCGGTGAAAGTGACCTTAAGTGAAGGCCCTTATCATATTGCTGAATTCAAGGACAGTGCTCGTGAGTTTGACTTGACCAAGGAATCTGATCTTGCAGACCTCAGGAGAGAAGTGAGTCAACATTTCTTTTAATTGAGACTCTGCTTACTACTACTGTATAATGGAGTTCATTTTTTTTCTCCCAATCTAGGTGGAAATTCGTATGAAGAACAGTGTACTCCGTGGCAAAACTGTGAGCAATGAAGTTATTTCTATGTCTGTGAGGGGTCCTGGACTTCAAAGAATGGTTCTTGTAGATTTGCCTGGTATTATAAGTGTAAGTTTATTGCAAAGAAAATAATATTTTTTTTCACTTATTTACATTTTAAGTCTATCCTGTGCCTATTTTTTATTTTAGACTCAGACTGTGGAAATGGCAGGGGACACTCGAGATGCTATTAGGCAAATGACTCAAACCTACATGTCCAACCCAAATGCTATCATCCTCTGTATTCAAGATGGTTCAGTGGATGCTGAGCGTAGCAATGTGACTGATCTTGTTTCTCAAATGGATCCTCAGGGCAAGCGCACAATTTTTGTCCTCACCAAAGTTGATCTTGCAGAACAAAACTTGACTAATCCAGACCGAGTAAGTTTCTTTTGCTGGCTAAAAAATATTTTTCGCTTGACATCCGTTTTTATTGTTCCTCATTGCTGACTTTCTTTGGTTGTCAGATCAAGAAAATATTAGCTGGACGTCTGTTTCCAATGAAGGCTCTTGGTTACTATGCAGTGGTGACGGGAAAAGGTGGAAAGGATGAATCAATTCAGTCTATTAAAGACTATGAGCAAACCTTTTTCCGTAGTTCTAAATTGTTCAAGTGAGTAGAGGTGTTGCCTTTTTTCAAAATCATAATTCTATTTTTGCATCATAATATTATTTGCCTCTAATTACGACTTACATGTTCTTGTTCTTAATTTTCTGGTGATTGTTTAATGTTGCAGAGATGGAGGAATCCTGTCAAGTCAGGTTACAACTCGTAATCTCACTTTGGCTGTGGCGGATTGCTTCTGGAAAATGGTTCGTGACACAGTAGAACAGCAAGCTGATGCATTTAAAGCCACACGGTTCAATTTGGAAACTGAATGGAAAAATAATTTCCCAAGGTAATGTGTTTTCAGCCTTTTGCTCCACAAGATTTCAGGTATGCATTCATTTCACTATTTTTGCCTTAATCGACTTCTTTTCTTAATATGCAGAATACGAGAGCTTGATCGAGATGAGTTATTTGAAAAAGCTCGAGGTGAAATTTTGGATGAAATTGTTAACTTGAGCCAGGTTTCCCCAGTTCAGTGGGAAGAAATGTTCATGAAAAAGATTTGGCAAAAAGTCAACATGCATATCTTTGAAAACATCTACCTACCTGCAGCTCAAACCAACGATGCTGGTACACACTTTTAAATATTTGACTGTGTAATTTTGGTACTAATAACTAAAGTCAGTAACTTCAAATTATTTCTTTCAATTTTCAAGGAATGTTTAACACCACTGTGGATATCAAATTGAAGCAGTTGGCTGACCAGCAGCTGCCTCAGCGGGCTGTTGAAACAGGATGGGAAGGACTTCGTGAAGAGTTCCAGCATTTCATGCATCAAGCCAAACAGTCAAAGGGACACGACAATATTTTTGACAACCTGAAAGAGGCTGTTGTGAATGATGCTTTCCAACGACACACATGGGAAGACAAAGTAGGTAGCACAAAAAGTGAAAAAGAAAAGAAATAACAACCAAAAACTCAATTACAGTTCTAGTTTTGAAATGCATGCTTTGATTCCTATATTTGTGTTCCCAGGCATCTGAAATGTTAAGAGTAATTCAACTTAATACTCTTGAAGATCGATCTGTCACTGACAAGTATCAGTGGGACCTGGCTGTAAAGTTCTTGGAAGAAAGCCTCAGAGAAAAACTAAAGGTAGTATTGATTTCAAGTAATTAATCTTCTTAATCTAACTCTTTTGAGTTTTTATTCATGTAGACAATCCTTTACCAAATGTTTTAATTATCTTTATGTAGGGGACAGAGGAAAGAATCAGAGACCTTGTGGGACCTGGAAGAAGTGAGAGGTGGATGCACTGGACTTATCAAACTGAGGAGCAGAAAAAGAGAAGTGCTGTTAAATCAGAGATTGATAAGATATTGTACTCTGACCATGTATGTTATGTCTGTTGCTTTTTCTTAATGTGTTCAATTTTGAAAGAAGGTTTACTCAAGATATCCTTGATTTGTTCCAGAAACATAGCCCATCACTTTCATATGATGAATTGGCAGCTGTTCGCAAAAACTTGCAGCGAATTGGTGTAAATGTAGAGAATGATTATGTTCGTGATACTTGGCATGTTGTGTTCCGGCGTCATTTCTTAAATCGTAGCTTAGCAAGAGCTTACGACTGTCGCAAAGGGTTCTATTTGTACAACCAAGGCCTTGAAACAGAGGTAATAATAACATCTTCCACTTGTTGCCTTGACAAATCTTGTGTATCACAAATTATTTCAGTGCCTCTGTAACATTGTTTTGTTCAATTCTGTTCAGCTGGAATGTAGTGATGTTGTGATGTTCTGGAGAATACATCAGGTCCTTAAAGTCACTTCAAATGCATTACGTCAACAAGTTATGAACAGAGAAGGTATGGATGCAACAACTTGTTTGTTACATAACTGTGCATGGATTTCATTTTTAACTAATCCTCTAATTATTTTGTGCTTAGCCCGACGACTTGAGAAAGAAGTTAAAGAAGTCCTGGAGGAATATAGTCAAGATCCAGAGAAGAAACAAAAGCTCCTTACAGGAAGGAGAGTTCTATTAGCTGAAGAACTAAGTAAGTCTTTTTGTCTCTCTTGTGATAGTGTTTTTTGGAATTAAGTAAGTAAAATGGAAGGAAACTAAATATCCTCTGTTTACTCTGTTTCAGAACGAGTCCGCTTAATTCAGGAAAAACTAGAGGAATTTATTCAAGCTTTGAATATGGAAAAGTGAGATAGGAGATTGTGTGAAAACCTTGTGTGTGTGACCTTAACCACTCTTGTAGGCTCAAGACACACTTCAATCTTTGGAGTGAAGTCAGTATGTGGAAAGCCTATTTGAGTGCGAGAGCATTCAAAGTTCTGATCCTTGGAAAAAGTCATTTTCTTGAATTGCTGTGATTCTTAGAGTAATTAATGGATGAATTTAGTCTGTAGGTTTTTAATGTCAAACCTTCTATGGTTTCATTTTTTTTTCTTAGGTCTCCCTGTATACTTGCTTGGCATTGTTTTGATTTATGTTTTTCAATCATTGAAAATTCCATCATTCCTCTGTGCAATTTTGCTCGGAGGTTGACTTTATCAGAGTTGGATTGTTTGTGAATGTGACTTCCATTTTACATGTTCACACATCTTTGCATTGTCTGAAACAGTTCATGGTGGTGAGGCAATATAAGCATTCACAGTTCTGTCCCCTGTTATTTTTCTTTCCCTCAATAACGGAAGACACACACACTCACACACAAACAAAGTCACTTTTTTAAATAGTTAAGTGATGCAATGAAGTAATGTGTGAAATGGCCAAAGAACTTCTACTTTTGTTTCTTTGAGTTGTATTGGAGTAAACTGTAGGTGCCTTTTTCTGAACTGTTATTGTACTCTCTTTTATGAACATGGAATTGTAATAATTTATTCTTATGATGCTATTTTGTCTTGCAGTTCGCTTGTACACCTTTTATTTAATTTAAAGTAAATAAATAAATTACTTCATTCTTTTTAAACACTTGATGTTTTCTTCCTGTTTCCCTGCCACGCCGCCTCAAATTTAAACAATCGTGCTAGTACATTGGAGGCTGAACTCGGCGCAGACGATTTTTTACCCGGAGAGGTGTAGCCGGTGTAGTGTCTGAACTACCTTTGAGGGATTTAGCGCACAGCGCAGGGAATGCAGATGCAGGCACAGTGTGCCAGGCACACCCTGGGAGAGGTCGCGCCTCGCAGGCTGCCTTCCTCCAGGCGTTTGGTGTGCGGGTTGACACTAAACAGGTCGCTCAATAGCCCGCAGGAAGGCAAATCGTGCGACGAAACTTCCTCCGAAGGCATGCGGCTCGCCTAGTTGTGCGAAGAACGCTGAACAGCGACAATGCATCCGAGCGCCTGCAGCGTAGGCAACCCTTCCAGCCGGAGGGGAGGGAAGGCCTGCCGCCTCTGATTTCGGAGGATCTTTTCGTCGCTCCGTCTCCCTCGCTCCTCCACGGTCCGCTGCATGAGTGCGACAAAGACAGCGCCGAAACGATCCCTTGGACCGAGGCGGCCGGCCTGGGCCACTAGCCTGGGCTGGGCCCCACGCTGAGCGCTACGCGGCGCTACGCCCCTCCAACGGGCCAAACAGAGCGCGAGTCCCGTTGCCCGGCGCGGCTAGCGCGGCTGGGCTGCGACCCCCTCGCTCTCTGGGCCCGGGGCCGTGGCCGTGGGCCGGCCCAAGCCCGGGCAGCACAAGCAAGGCGCCGCGGAGTAGGGAAGCTAGGCCTCGACTCGACAGTCTCCGTGGCCCGGCCCGGTGCCCAGTCCGCCCAGTCTGCCCACGACGCCCCTCGGCGCGAGACACACCGAGACACCACTCGCCTTCTAGCGCCCCAGCACCAACGGCCGGCCGGCCAGTCACACACTCACCGCACCACCAGCCAGTGTACTCAGCACTCCACAGGTGAGCACTAGAGGGTGGCCAGTGAGCACACCACACACTGCTTTGTCACTGGCACACAGCAAAAAAAATCGTTTTGATTCAGTTTTGTTCTTGGTCATTCCGGTGTATGAAAAAAGTTGCACTGGCAGTGGGGAAACGTCCAAGAAGCCGGTTCTTCGGTTTTGGCGAAAGTGACTTGGTGTAGTTTGGCAGGTCCGAATTGGACCCGCGCGTGTCTGCCGCTCCGAATCGAGAACTTTTGCCAAGAGATGACCTACTGTGAAATTTTGTGTACGTACAATGATTGTGGGACTGTGTGAGAACGTGCGAGATTTCTGGCGTATTTGCCACACATGTTGCGTACTTACGGGCGTTTTCCCCACCTCTCAATGTGGAATGTGTTTCAAATTTTGTACCATGAATGTGGAAAGTTGTTCCCTTCTTGAGCTCAGATGTCAAAAGTCGCATCTCAACACAAAACAACAAATGAAAATATTTAAGGGTATGTGTTGTGAGTCGCGAGAGGTCACGGATATAGTATGAGAGTTAGAGTGCGAGGGAATGTAAATTACTTCCTGAACTGTCGAATCGTGCGGCTTGGCCCCCTGCGTCGGCGCGTGCTGCGGTGAAGCAAGACCTGGAGGGTCGTGGGACAGGGGACCTGCAGGGACAGGGAACGCCAGGGAACGGCAGGGAACGCCCGCGACAGGGCCGCGCGTCGCGTCGCGGAGACAATGGAGTCGCGGGAGAAGTGTCGAGGATTCCAGGATTCGACGACTCTGGGCGCTGGACAACGCCGCGGAGGGAAACGCGTCCTTCATTCCGACGGCAGAGACGGGGCAGTCCTGAAACGGACATGACATGGCGCGCGATGTTTTCGCGTACGCCACACTCCACGGGGCATCCCCGAGAGCCTGAATCACTGGGTGACGCAAGTTCCTCGGGCCTCGGACTCCTCTCTGCGGCGGGTCGGTTAGACCGGGTTCCGGATCCGGAACTAGGGCGGCGTTCATCCGACGGCTTGCTTCTCACTTTTCACTCTTTTTCGTTTCCAGTCTTGTAGGAGAGGCACTGTGCTAACTGGGCCGCGGCGCCGCTGCAGTGTAAACCACGCGCACGTGTGTGCACTGGGCACGTTAGGCATGCCAAGGCATGACACGCTCCCCGGCTTCTGGGATCTCATTACCATTCGGCACTACACTGCCACTCGGCTGCAGCACTGTTCAAACCTCAATCACCGCCTCTCCATTGTCTCTCGACCGGGATGACGACGATCCCGCCGATGTATTCCCCGGGACTTGACTTCCGACCCTTCACTGCTTGTGTGTGTGCGTGCGTGTCTGTGAATGTGAAGGGGGAAAGGGGAGGGGGGGGCATAGGTGCACGATAGGTTGCTACCTTGCAGGCGGCGTGGACACCGAGACGACGGTGGACACGAGCTCGCCGCCCCGATTCGAACCCGAGGCTTGCGGCGCGCCTGGAGGCGGGACGGTCTTTCTGGAGAAGAAAGAGAGAGAGAGAGAGAGAGAGACGAAAAGCGAAGAGAGCAGCACAGCACAGCGCACCCCTGGCCGCGCGTCCCGTCCGACCCGTCGCTTCCATGAGCCAAGGTGCCCTTGGGGGCTTGCTTGGGCTTCGGCCCGGCCCCCTCGCCGCGAGTACACGTACTGCCTGAGGTGCGAGGGGAGCTTGCCGGACCGAGTCGAGCCGAGCCGGACCCAGCCGGACCCCGGACCCCGGACCGCGCCGGAGCAGTATAGTGCTGCTGCTGCCTGCTTGAATGACGGGCTGGCCGGCCCCGGGCGGTATGTTTGGGGCTTTTGGGCCCATGAGCTGAGCTCCGTGGGGGAAGGGGGGGGGGCACCCATCTCGACGATCTGGTGACAACGACCAGGCGACCCGTCTGCGCCCACGACGCGGAAATCTCGTCAGACCGCACAGTGTCTCGCTTGCTCGCGCCTCGCGCCCGCGCAAGGAAGGGTACTGGTCGTCTGAACCCGACCGAACCCTCGGGCCGGTGAACTTGTCTGCACCCAGTTCGCTCGCAGCATTCGCGCGTCGCGTGCCCGTTGTGCTGCCTACCTAACAGGCGCCGCCGTGCCACGTACTTTTCCAGGCAAGACGCGACCGAGACTCCGAGCTTCTCCAAGACCGCTGGAATGCTGCCAGAGGTGGGGCTGGGGCCGCAGTTTCTGGCTCTGGCCGCGGCGGCGCTGGTGTGCGGCGCACTCGCCTTGCTGGCTCTCGTCAACCTGTACTGCTTCCTCACGCTCGGAGTCTACCGCGGCAAGGAGAAGATGCAGGGCAAGACCGTCATCGTCACCGGCGCCAACTCCGGTACGTACTGCATGCGCTGGGCCCTGGGCCTCGCTGGGGCCCTCGGGGCTGTCGAAGAGAGTGGAGCCGACTGGAGAGATCGCGGTTTTGGGGCCAGTGTCACGTCAACGGGCTTGTCACCGGCACCGCGCGCGCGGCCGCCGGGCCCATGCCTGCTGAGGCCCTATGAAAACAAGGAGTGACCGTCAGCAAACGCAGTCCGTTTGCTGGGCAGGGTACTTAGTCGTCATCACCTGGTGCTCTCAGGGCTGGAGTGCGTTTCATTGGATCGCTTTGGTGAATTTCGCCGCCTGTTTGTGCGACACTGTCCACTTTGCGCGGCGCTATCCTTAGCTTCCTAGAGTGCTCTTTGATTGCCCGACGAGCCCCCTCTCCATTGGCCGACCCTGGAATTCTGCAATCGCGTCATTGCTGCGCTCACTCACGCTCACGACTACGTGCTTCTGCTGTACGGCTGAAACGCGTGTCCCCGTGCTGGAAAAATAGTTCTGCCGACTAGCTTCCCCTGCAGTGTATGCACCACCGGCCGGGACTTCCCTGGCCGGTGCTTCCACCCCAGTGGCGTAGCAAAGCGTAGCCAACCGCCCTCCGAGTCTTCGAGTGCGCGTGGCGCGGAGTGTTGCAGTGGAGTGGCATGTGGCGTGATGCCCCGGCACGGCGCGGTTTTGCGTCGGCCCTAGTCGGCCCCGTCCGCGAGGGCCGCTGGGGCCGCGCTGGGGCGTCCTAGACCCCTTCCCCTTCCTTTTCCCACGAGGCCTGCAGGACCGGAGCGGACTGCAGCGAGGCGCGGCGGCGCGGCTGCATTGCGCGTTGCTGGCTTTGCGCGGTGCGGCGGTGCGCGCTCGTGGCCGGGCAGCACCGGGCCGGCCGTGGCTGCCATGGCCAGGGTCGACGCACCTCTCAAGGCTCAGGGCCAATGGCATCACGCCGCGGCGGCAGGGCGGGCCTTGGGGCGGGCAGGCGGACGGGCTGGACCCGCGTACTTACAAAGTCAAGACGACGCCACGGTGGCGCACCGCGGCAGCATCGGCAGCGCAGGCAGCGCAGGCCCACACCGAGAACGAGGCCCTGCGCGCGGCCCGCGCGGCCAAGCCAAGCCTGCAGACTGATTCCGAGAGTCGTCTCTCTCTCGCACCTTTACGGGACGCCCCACGAGTGCGGGAGAGGCAGAGCGACGAAAACGACTCTCGGAATGAGCCTGCCTTGCCTAGCCCAGCCGGGAAGCAGTGCATTGCGGTTGTCGGGTTGCGACATGAGCGGGGATTCCTTCCGCGGGCCCCTCCCCGCCCCTCTATGTGCGAGAGGCCTAGCCGGCCTAGCTAGCTGCCACAGGCTTGGCGGCTCTCGATTCACGTCGATAGGCGGAGGCGGGGTCACTAACCGCTGGCCAGCGCGCTGCGGCAAGTCAAGACACGGGGGCCGCCTGCCGGGTAGGCAACCCATCGTGCGGCTTGGCCTAGGTCCGCGTAGGTCCGCGGTCCGCACAGGCGCCACTTTCATTGACACGGTCATTGATTCGGGACTGGACTTGGGCAATGTTGCAGGCATTGGCCGGATCACGGCCATGGAGCTGGCGAAGCGCGGCGCGCGGGTCATCATGGCCTGCAGGACCATGGAGACGGCCAACCAGGCCAGAGGTAAGGGAGAATCGATCGTCTTCTCCACGCGACAGCAACGTTACACGTTCTGCTCTCACTCGCAGATGAGATCGTCAAGGAGACCAACAACCAGAACGTGGTGGTGCACAAGCTGGACCTGGGCTCGCTCCAGTCCGTGCGGGACTTCGCGGCCGAGATCAACAGGAGCGAGCCCCGCCTCGACGTCCTGGTGCACAACGCGGGCATGGCCAACACCTTCGGCCGTAAGACGTCCCCGGACGGCATCGAGATCACCATGGCCACCAACCACTACGGGCCCTTCCTCCTCACCCACCTCCTTATAGGTAGGCCTGCATATCCAAGTTTGAAAGCTAACAAATTTAGACAATTATTAAATAATTTTGAAAAAAAAAAAAAATCATGGAAATTTTAAACTTATTTTTGTTTGCAGATCTGTTGAAGAAATCGAAACCCAGCCGTATTGTGGTAGTGGCATCAGAGCTCTACAAATTTTCAAGCGTAGACTTAAATAACATGAACCCCACCCGCAAATTGCCCGCTTACTTGTACTATGTTTCTAAATATGCAAACATCCTTTTCACAAATGAATTGGCAAGGCGCTTGGAAGGGACAGGTGTCACTGCTAACTGCTTGCATCCAGGAATGATAGACAGTGGAATCTGGAGAAATGTTCCCTTCCCTCTGAACCTCCCTGTCAAATTAGTGTGCAAAACTTGCTTCAAGGTAAGTGATCCAATGTCCCATTCTCTTTAAGCTCATTCTTTCCCTTTGCTTCAAAAAGACTAAATGTCAATTTTTTTCAGACCCCTGAACAAGGTGCTCAAACAACACTGTACTTAGCATGTTCAGAAGAAGTCGAAGGAGTAAGCGGGAAATACTTCATGGACTGCAAAGTAAGTATATCAAGATTCAATCTGAAGCAAAGAATATATCCAGACTGATTCTCTGACAAATTATTTTGTACTTTTGCAGGAACACTCTCTTTCAAGAGGTGCGTCAGACATGAACGCAGCCAAAAAGTGCTGGGAAATATCTGAAGGAATGGTGAAACTTCAGCCAACAGATCCCAAGATTTAGTTAAGATTGTTTTAAATGAATGCTCATCATACAATTTGTTAAGATTTATTTCCTTACCATTTTATAATAAAAGTAGAACAAGACAGCACAATGCTTATTTCTAACAAAATATCCCTGTTATTCTGTGAACAGCCAGAGTCAAGCCTAACTGTCATTTGTGGCTTGGCCTGCAAGTTAGTTACCTCCAACTCAACTAAACAAGAGGGCTCCAACTTACTGGCCATCCCACACTCAACATGGTTAAGCAGATAACTGACGTTTGATGAAACACCAGCCGAAGACAGGAAAAACAGCTGTAATGATTAGCCCGCAAGGTAGTTACCACTAGTTCAATTTAACAGTGGTAGTCTAACTTGCAGGCTAACCAAAAAGCGAGATCCCACTGGAAGTCAAACAGCAAGCATGGAGACTCTTCGTCGGAGTGCTGAACCGCAAGGATGGCCTGCAGGCTTCTTTCCAGTCATTCATAGGCACAATAGGTCCCAGTCAGTAGACGGGCCCCGACAGAAGATTTCGAGGGGCTGCAGATGAAAATGAAGGAAGTGTCAGTAAACAGGCATGCAAACACAGGTTTGAACCAGGACTGGAACTTCACAACAGAAAACAAATCATGTCTCGTGAGAGTAAGTCTCAAGATGGCTTCATTCATAAGGGTCCAAAGCTACCAGCAACGCAAGCCTGGTCCCACTCGGGAAACCCTTGCAGAGTTTACACCAAGCTCGGGTTCTGAGCTGTTGTCAGATCGTCAACGCGAGACGAACGGAGGAAGGGACACTTGTACACACAAAGCCACCATGCGGGGCCAAGGTATGCAGAGGTTAGAGGCCAAGATAAATCGTGAAGAGGGTCGTCCCAAGTGGAGCACAGCACCGCGAGAATCACCAGCAGGGCTGCTGGATTTCATGACCCCTGCAACCCAGCAGTGGGGCTTCGGTTTCGGCACGATTCCCGCCACGGCGAAAGTACACAAGCCGGGCCGGACTGCACTGTCCAGACGTCAGGCCGCTCGGGATGAGATGCGATGCAAGCCGCGACTCCAGAGGTCGACCACCCTGTGCTGGCTGCCCCGAGAGATGCTGCGGAGGGACAGAAAGACGTCAAATGGGGCAAGGCACTACACTGCAAGGACGGGGAGACGGCGGCGCCATGCCCATTCGACGGTTACCGAACCATTCATTGTCTACGATCGATACGGCCATTGCAACCCTGCCCGTCCCTTCGGAGAGTCCCGACACACTGCAAAGACGAGCAGGACAGGACACACATACCCAAACCACGACCCGGCCTCGCGCCCCGCGGGGGTCCTCGCTGCCGTCCCCGTTCCCGCACGCGACATCCCGCGGTCCGGGGCCGCGTCGCGGGCCGTCGGCGTCAAGGATCACCGCAGACAGGACGCGATTCAATCGGCGAAGGAGACGACGACGGGCAAGGAAGCAATGAACGAAGCGGGCAGACCGGCTTCACGACCTGACCCAGCACAGCGCCACCCAGCACCGCGAGACCCCGGGGCTGCAGCTGCAGCTGCACTGAGGCGCTGTTGCCAAAGTGTCTCCATGCGCAGGGAAAAACAAAAACAGCGTCTGCTTTTCGTAGAAGGCGCCGCTCTGTACCAACGCGAGAAAATTAAAAGCACCACTGAGAAAAGAGTAAAGTGCGCTTCGGGGTGATCACAATTGTGTTTAGAACGTTGAATTCTTTTTTTGACTGATTTTATCAATTTTATAGGCTCACACATTGGTGTGTTTCAACATTAAGTTACGGTACGATACTTCTTGTGTTGGTGGTGGTGTACGGCAGCCATTAACGCGTCAGCAGGTGAGGCTGTCGGTTTGTTTTTCTCCGAATGTTGTAGTTAAATCGCAGTCTTCTGGATAGGTAAGCGTCAAATTCCGTTTCTTGTGCAGTGCCAGTCACATTCCTTGCTTCAAAATTCCATGCCCTCCCGAAATTGCATTGGTTCTTGTCCCTTGATTTCCTTTCCCGGTCCTTTGTTGGTTAGTTTGCACTTTCTTAGGGCCAGTTATTTTGACCTTTTTCGGTTCCAAATAAGTACTCTGGGCGTTGGAATTCTATGTAGAGCCCCCTTTCGCTTAATGAAATAGTCACTCGAGGAACTGTCCTTCGCATTGCGCTGTTTCAACACAACTCACTGACTCAATATGTTTCTCTGCAGGGTAGGAACAATCATGTCAGACTCGGAGAGCAATTATTCTGGGAGCAATAGAGGCAGTGGCTCGGAGGACGAGGGCCAGAACCATGCTAGCGATGATGATCGCGCGTCAGTCAGGTCAGTATTTGTCATTATTTCGGTTCCGGTTCCGACTGGCACCTTTTGACTGCCGACATGCATGTAATAATGTTGTTCCGTTCAGATCGAGATCAAGATCTCGCTCAAGATCCCGATCCAGATCAGTTGGACGTTCTGCATCCCGATCCCCTTCCAGATCAAGATCTAGAAGCCGCTCCCGCTCAAGGTCTGGTTCTAGGTCGAGAAGTGGCTCTCCGGCTGGATCAGATGCGTAAGTCACTACAGAAGACTGTTTATTAGTTGCACATTTAACCATATACTACTAAATTACGCCTAAGTATTCACTTTCTATTATTTCAGTTCTGATGTCAGACCCATGAAGCGTAAAAGGAGGTAAACTACATAACAATTCATTAAATCATCCATTCTTGACGGAGTTTAAACCTTGAAGCTAATTCTTGTTTTGTATGCCTAGACGTTCGGGCTCAGGAGAAGAAGAAGTTGAAGATGAACAGGAACCAGAGGGGGAGGATCTGGGCTCTGATGTGAGTTTTCTTTTCAGGCACCGAACTTCTGTGAAGAACGTTTCTTTTCATTTATTCACTTCTTGTTTTTGTAGGAGTATGATGAAGAAGAAGAGGATGACGAAGAAGATGACCGCAGAAGAAGTAAGAAGAAGAAAAATGACCGATTTGGAGGTTTTATTATTGATGAAGCCGAAGTAGACGATGAAGTTGAGGATGAAGATGAATGGGAAGATGGGGCCCAAGAGATTGGCATTGTTGGTAATGAAGTGGATGAGTTGGGGCCAACTGCTCGGGAAATTGAAGGCAAAAGAAGAGGAACTAACCTCTGGGAGTAAGAACCACTCTCTAATGTGTCACTGTCTAATATGTCTATCATAGTCTTACTCTAACAATTGCATTTATGTTTTGATCTGAACAGCTCGCACAGGGAAGATGAAATCGAAGAATACCTACGCAGAAAATATGCTGATGAGTCTGTTCCCGCCCATCATTTTGGCGATGGTGGAGAGGAGATGTCTAATGAAATTACTCAGCAAACCCTTCTTCCTGGCGTCAAGTAAGTTCAGTTGTTCAATTTTTAAAGTAGCAATGTAATACTTTCTGCTGTAATTTCAGATCAAAATCTAAGAAAGAACGGATATAACATGTTATTTTTAACTTTTAATTTTCAGAGATCCAAACTTATGGATGGTCAAGTGTAGGTTGGGCGAAGAAAAGGCCACAGCACTTCTCCTTATGCGAAAGTGGATCACCTACCAGTCCAGTAATGAGCCCCTGCAGATCAAATCAGTTGTTGCTCCAGAGGGTGTGAAGGGCTATATTTATATTGAAGCCTACAAGCAGCCTCATGTCAAGGCGGCCATTACAAATGTCAGCAACTTGCGTATGGGCATATGGAAGCAGCAAATGGTCCCCATTAAGGAAATGACTGATGTATTACGTGTAGCAAAGGAACAGACTGGTTTACGCTCCAAGCAGTGGGTCCGCCTCAAAAGAGGAATCTACAGGGATGATATTGCTCAAGTGGATTATGTTGACCTTGCTCAAAACCAAGTTCATTTGAAACTTTTACCCCGCATTGACTACACTCGCCTTAGGGGTGCCCTTCGTACTACTCAAAATGACAATGATAAAAAGAAGAAGAAGAAGCGCCCAGCTGCAAAGCCCTTTGACCCGGAGGCCATTCGTGCCATTGGTGGCGAAGTTACTAGTGATGGAGACTTCCTTATTTTTGAAGGAAACCGTTATTCCAGAAAAGGATTTTTGTATAAAAATTTCATCATGAGTACTATAGTATCTGAAGGTAAATTTATCCTATCTGTCTCCCTGACTCTTTTTAATCAGTATAATTTTTTCAATTGCTATTTTTGTTTTAAGTGAAATGAAAAGTTTATGCTTAACCATAAAAAATTTTCATTGACATTTTAAGGTGTGAAACCTACCCTTTCTGAATTGGAGAAGTTCGAAGAGGCTCCGGAGGGTATTGACATTGAAGTACCTACTTCAGCAGCGGGGAAAGATGACGCTGTCACCCACCAATTTTCAGCGGGAGACTATGTTGAAGTGTGCGAGGGAGAATTGATGCACTTGCAGGGAAAAATTGTGTCTATTGATGGCAATATGATTATAGTGATGCCTAAGCATGATGACCTGACAGTATGTATTTTTTCCACTCTTTCTTTTGTTTAATTTTTAATTTCATTATTTTATTTTTCAAATATATAACAAAATTTCTCTATCTCTTTTTTTTTTTCAAGGATCCACTAGAGTTCCAAGCTTCTGAATTACGGAAGTTTTTCAGGCAGGGAGACCACGTTAAAGTGCTTGGTGGAAGATATGAAGGAGACACTGGTTTGATTGTTCGTGTGGAAGATAACAGAGTTGTTCTTTTCTCTGATCTCACTATGCATGAGCTAGAAGTTTTACCTCGAGATTTGCAACTCTGCTCGGACAGAGCTACAGGTGTGGATAGCATGGGCCAGTTCCAATGGGGTGATATGGTTATGCTTGAGTAAGTTAATAAACCCTGTTTAACCTGCCAATTTAAAAATCTTGCCCGCCCATTGCTTGTATGATTTTTATGTCTTTGTTTTCTTCTCTGACAGTGCTCAGACTGTGGGTGTAATTGTTCGTTTGGAACGAGAAAACTTCCATGTCCTTAGTATGCAAGGGAAAGTTGTTGAAGCAAAGCCACAGGCATTGCACAAGCGTAAGGAAGCTAGATTTGCTGCAGCATTAGACTCTGAGCATAATCCTATCCATCGGAAAGACATTGTGAAAGTCATTGATGGACCTCACTCAGTACGTTTTCCTCATTCAATTTTTTGTCTTTTTATTTCTTGCTTTTGGCTTATGTCCTGTAACCAAAGGAAAACTAAATATTCAATGTTGATCATTTTACAGGGACGGGATGGCGAAATCAAACACATTTACCGTAACTTTGCCTTTTTGCACTCACGAACCTACCTGGACAATGGTGGTATTTTTGTGTGCAAAGCTAGGCATCTGCTCTTGGCCGGAGGAAGCAAAGTGTGTTGTTGTCATCTTTTTATGACTTTTTGAGTGCTTAAAATGGTTTTGCCTTAAATACTTATGTCCTTTTCAGAATGTATCTGCAATGGGAGCAACTGGTATGGGATCCAGCAACTTTGGCGTCATTATGTCACCGCGCATTTCCTCCCCCATGCACCCTGGGGGAGGCCGAGGCGGACAGACTCCTTCGCGGTCTGGGGGTGGAGGGCGTGGTGGTGGCAGGGGCGGCCACAATGTCAGGCGTGACAGAGATATCATTGGATCGACCATCAAGATCACTGGAGGCCCATTCAAAGGTACGTCATTAAATTTTAAAAATATATTGGGTGCAGTGTCATTATCTTGTTCCAGTTTGCTTTTTTGTTTTCCTATAAATTGACCACCCCTAACTTAAATTTTTGTTTACAGGCAATGTTGGTATGGTTAAAGATGCAACTGAAGTCACAGCTCGAGTTGAGCTCCATTCATCTTGTCAAACAATCTCTGTGGACCGCTCACATATTGCTGCTGTGGGTCAGCCCTCAAAGGTACTGCTTATCTGTATTTTTATTCCTAATTTTGACTTTTTTAAATGAATGGGGGTTTGACTAAACTTTCCAATGTCGTCACAGGATGGATCCTTCTCTACCTATGCCCGTACTCCATCCTATGGATCAGGGCAAACACCCATGTACCGCGAGGGCAACAAAACTCCTCTCCATGGGTCACAGACTCCTATGTACGAAGGTAATTTTCGCCACCATATCTTTATTCCTCCAACTTTCTAAATTTTCAACGAATTTTTTACAGTTTGGACATTGTTAAAATGTTTTCAACATAACTAACTGTCTTGTTTTTGTTCCAGTGGGCAACCGTACACCTCATTACAGCAGTATGACTCCCTCTCACGATGGCTCTCGAACTCCTGGTCAAAGTGGAGCCTGGGATCCCACAATCACCAACACACCTGCACATCGCGCTGGAGATTTGGATGCTTATTCATTAGATGAAGCATCACCCTCACCTGGTTACAATCCGAGTAAGTTTCTGTGAAGTAATTCATTAGATTAATGCTTCAACCCCCAAAAATTATACTCTATTATGTTTCGGTTTCAGACACTCCAAGCTACCAGGCTGGTGGACCTTACACTCCACAAACTCCAGGGACTATGTATGGTTCCGGATCAGAGCAGTCATACTCCCCGTCACCCTTCCAACCATCACCTAGCCCAACAGGTTATCAAGGTAAAATCACCCTCTACCTTCACCAAAACTGGCTTGCTGTCACATTTTCTATTCTATTATTTCTGTTTGCTTTTGTGTATGTCAAATGTATCGTCTTCTAAAAACGCCATAGGAGGCTGGTGTTTTTTCTCGTCAATTTTCAATCTGCCAACTTGTCGTTTCTGTGTTTGGCAGGGTCCGGCTCGACGTACGGGGCCACGCCCAGCCCTACCGGGTACACGCCGTCGCCGTCCGCGGCGGGCCCTTACGGCACGCCGTCGCCCATCGGCGGCTACAGCCCCATGACGCCGAGCGGCAGCGGCGCCGCCTCACCCTACGCGCCCTACACGCCCGGCGCCGCCGTGGACGCGCCGCCGCTGCAGGAGTGGTGCACCACGGACATCGAGGTCCGCATCCGCGACACGCACGACGACGCCGGCCTCTGCGGCCAGACCGGAGTCATCAGAGGAATATCGGTGAGTCGTCGTCGCCGCCGTTCGCGTGCTTGCCCCACTGCTGCACTGTGGGCGAGAAGACCGGCGCAGGCGGCCAAAACTCTGGACGCGCTAAATAGGACCCGAACCGAACGTGTGACCCCACCAATGGATTGCTCTCCGAACGAGGGATTCACTGGTGGGGTCACACGTTCGGTTCGAGTCCTATTTAGCGACTCTGGAGCTCAAAACGCGTCTAGAGCTTTGGCCACCTCCACCGTGCTGTGCTCCTGCCGGACTTCGGGTAACGGTGCGTTTTTGTTTTCTCTTGCAGGGAGGACAGTGTGCCGTCTTTTTACCGGACGAGGACCGCACGGTCAACATTCTGCAGGAGCACCTGGAGCCGGTGGTGCCGCAGCAGGGTGACCAGGTCAAGGTGATCCTGGGCGAGGACCGAGAGTCGATGGGACAGTTGCTGTCCATCGACAACCAGGAGGGAGTCGTGGAGCTGCACGCCGGAGAAGTCAAAATGTTGCAGCTTCGGTATCTATGCCGTTTGGGCACTAGCCACTAGAACGTTTGTCTATAAATTTGTAGGCTTTAAATAATTGAGGAGTTTGGAGGTTGTGTTGTTCCGATATGTATCAATATTTGATTTGTTCTTGTATGTATCAATATATAAATTTGCTGACGAACAAACCTTTTTTTCTCATGAGAAAATGTAGCTAAGTGAGAATAAATATTGTGTAGATAACACTATTTGTGGTTTTTTTTTTTAGAATTCCTTTTAAACCTCATGTAAAAAAACTAGTAGGGGAGGAAATTTAAAATTAAGATAGAAGAAGTATAAAATATGGAATGCCTTTATTTAATTTTGAATGCTTGGCTCTGTTTATGTAAAATAGATTTACTGATCACAAAATCAATGTACATTCTCTGATATGTGTTGTCTCATGATTAAAACTTGACTTCAGGTCACAATCTGAATAGAACTTTCCATTCTTTTCCCTATTTCCTATAATCATCATTCATTGAGTTATTGATGGTCCAGTAAAAGACATATCACAAAAATCTTGAGCATTTGGTTGTGTTTTCATTGAGCTACACATTCATTTACAAAATTAGAACCAAAGTAATCTTAGGTTTAAAAGAGTATTCCTTCAGATGCGAAAGCTTCAAAGCTTCTGCCTTTGAGATGAGTTTTCTTAAAACTGGGATGGATAGTAAATAGTTACAATGAATGAAAATAAGCTGTCCATATTAGGCTCCAGGGATCATAGAGTTGTAAACCCTCAATGCCTCTTACATGATGAAAAATGAAAATAATTACTCTAAATCGAAGGTCAAGTTGTACCTCGACTTTGATCGCTTTTCAGTGTGAGATTGGCATTTTTGCTGGAAGAACACAAAACAATACTCTGCCATCTTACACCTTACAAACAACTCGGCTGTTTCAACTACAATCACAGAAACATGATTTAGGCACTGAATTTTCATGTATCATTAGCAGAAAGAGTTACTCATACACTAAAGTCTATATACACACAAATTACTTAGTTGCTATTTGCATACTACGTATACATGAAGTTTCTACCTAGCTCTGACTGCAAAATTAAGCTATGCATTTCACCCCCATCAACATCACGAGTCACTTCAGTAGCGCAGTCTGGCGGCCAACCGGGTGGGCCCGGGAGTCGTCCCACTCGTCCAAGGCTTGGTTGTGCTCGAGGACAAACAGTCCGTCGTTCTCTCCTTCTCGACGTGAAGCAAACAGGCCGGGCGCCAGCGCCCAATTCACGCCTCATCACAGCACTGGCGGGGGGTCCGGGGGGTCGGGGCGCTCGGGGCCTCCGGGAGCGCGGGGGAGAGGGGGGGGGGGACTGGGGGGTGGACGGCTGTCACGAACGGCAGACTCTGCGCATCGCTGGGCAGGGCACGCGGAGCGGGCCGATACGCCGCAAGGGCGCAAGGGCAAGGCTTTGGCCGGATAAGGCTTTGGCGACGCGGCGAAGCGCTGTGCGCTGCATGTCTGCAGTCTGCAGCTCGGTGCTGCGGCAGCGCGGCAGCGGCCTACACGCTCGCGCCACGCCCGCGACAACAAGCAGCGCACGATGCAGCCAAGCAGCTCGTCCGCACGCCGTGCCACTGGCTTGGAGGAATCCTCCGCGTGGCGGCGTGGCGGTGGCGCCTGGCTGCGCCTGGCGGGCCCCGGAGGAGCAGGGCCTCGGTGGCGTGCCTCGCGCCACCACGACCAGGGTCTAGGGCGACTGCAGCTGCGTCTCGGCCTGCTCCAGCTGGCTGTCCCGCCGGCTCCGCCGCCGCGCTTCCTGGCCGTTGACGCCGACCTCCACGGCCTGGTACGCGTCCTTGTCCGGGTCGTCCCACTCCTGGACGTCGCCGGACGCGAAGACGAGGTAGAAGCAGGCCGTGGCGGCGTACACCGCGGCGCTGATGAAGAACACCACCCTCCAGGCGGCCTGTGTGGGCTGCAAGCGGAACAGTCTCGTGAGAAAACAGTCGGCGACATAGGTTGGCGCGGGGTGCACTGCACAGTGGGCCTGCTGGAGGCGGTCAAAATCCCGGATGCGTTTTGAGCTCACAGAGTCGCGAAATTGGGCTCGAACCGAACGTTTGACCCCACCAACGGATTGCTCTTCGAACGAGGGGTCCATTGGTGGGGTCACACGCTTTGGTCGTGTCCTGTTTGGCGACTCTGGAGCTCAAAACGCGTCTAGAGTTTCGGCCGCCTGCGCCGGTCTTCTGGCCCACTTTGCGGCGGGGGCGGCACTCACCTTGCCCTCCACGATGAAGCCGGCGATGAGCGGCGCGAGCAGGGCGAACACGTTGGCGATGCAGTTGGTGAGGCTCATGAGGATGCCGGCGAAGCGCGGCGAGATGTCCAGGTGGTTGATCCGGTAGCCGCTCATGGTGCCGCCCATGAGGCCCACGCCCATGGACAGCAGCGCGACGGTGAGGAGCGCGGAGCAGCCGGTGTACGAGGCCGCCACCAAGGACAGCGCGGGCCCGAACATGCCTGTGCAGCGGCGGGCAGGAAGTGGCGGTCAGGCTCAGGGCCGCTCGAGCCATTTGCTGGTTTTGGTAAAGACACTGTTCGAGACGGGACACTTACCGATGCTGTTGAGCAGCTTCCTGGTCCTGGTGAGCGAGACGCCCTTGTGCCACGTCATCCAGTCCGCCACCACGCTCACCACGATGGAGAAGATCCACATGGCGAGGTAGGGCAGCGCGGACAGGGTGCCGTTGTGCTTGATGCTGAAGTGCAGCACCTGCTTCATGTAGGTGGGCAGCTCCGTGAGCAGCGTCTCGTAGCCGTAGTTCTGCCCCATGTGCGCCACCAGGATGGCCCAGAAGGGCATGGACTTGAGCACCGACATCCACGGGATGGGGGGAGTCTGCGCAGGAAAACAAAGCCGATCAAAACGAGGAAGCAAAACGAGTACACAATACACATGTAGAGCGGCACGTTGCTGAAGACTGATTCCGAAAGTCGTTTTCGTCGCTCTGTGCCTCCCGCTCTCATGGGCGTTCCCTATAGGTGCGAGAGAGACAGAGCGACGTAAACGACTCTCGGAATCAGAGTACAGCCTCACCTGCTCATTCTTCTCGCCGCCCAGCGAGCCCGTGATGAACTTGCGCTCCGCGTCCCGGATGCGGGGGTGGACGTCGGGGTCCTCGTGCACCCAGATGAGGAAGGCGATGGACCAGGCGGTGCCCACGGCGCCGAACACGTAGAAGATGGAGGGCCAGCCGCCCGCGAAGCCGTACCGCGACAGCAGCCCGCTCAGCGGCAGCGAGATGACCGTCCCGAACTGCGCCCCTGCGGCACGACGCGAGCCTCAGCAGTCTGTCTCTCTCGCACCCATACGCGCCCATGAGTGCGAGAGAGACAGAGCGACGAAAGCGACTCTCGGAGTCCTGGTCACCGCCACGCCGTACATCACGCCGACGAGGGCCTCGGCCTCGGCACGGGGTAGCAACGCGAGAGCCAGCGCCGCCGAATGGGCTTCGAGCCGCGCCCCAGCGCCATGGCCCATTTATGATAGTATAGTAAATTTTGCTTGGCTTTAATCTTTTGCGGCCCGTTCAAATGTTGACGCGCGCAGTGCTGGTAAATCTTTGCCACTGATAAGGCGCGGCGTTGCCCTCGTCCCTTAATGAGGCGTCGTGGCCGGGGCCAAACCGCCCCCGCCCCGCCCCGCCCGCCCCGCCCCGCCCCGCCCCGCCCCGCCCCGCCCCGCCCGCGCCCGCCGCCGCCCGCCCCGCCCGCCCCGCCCCGCCGCCCCCCGCGCCGGGGCAGGGGGCGCACGACGGCGGTGCGCAACCTGTGCTACTTACCGGCGTACACGAAGGCGCCCAGCCTGCTGCGCTCGCTGGGCGGGATCCACTTGGCAAGCATGGCGTGCGTGCACGGCACGATGGGGCCCTGCAACACCACCAACAGGTCATGTCATCGCGGGGGCAAAAATAAGGGAATAGCGTCGCGCCTCGCGGCGGGTTGATTCCGAACAGTGGCGCCATCCCTGCCGCACCCTCACGGGGTTCCCCACGAGCGCGAGAGAGACAGAGCGACGCCCGGACCGGAATCAGGCCGGCGCGCGGTCGGCCTGCAATTTGGCGGCGCTCCGCGGTGCTCCGCCCGGCGCGGCTTGTCTCGTGCAGCACGCCGTGCAGCACGCCGTGCCTGTCTCGTCGCGGCTTGGCGGCATTTCAAGCTTCGGGCGGACAATAAAGAAGTCGGGAAACGGACGCCCGGCCCGGGGACCGGGGACCGGCCCAGCGGTTTATAATGAGCAGGAATAACGCGCGCACACAGGCGTGGCGGCCGGCCGGGCCAACTCTAGTGACCGGCCGAGCGATCGCTCTGTCTCTCTCGCACTCTTACGCAGAGAGCCATGAGAGCGACAGAGACAGAGCGACGAAGCGACTCTTCTTCTGAATCGCGCGGCAGCGGCCAGCGGCCAGCGGCGTGTGCCAGTGTGCCCTCCTCGGCCGGCCTGCCAGCGGCGGCGTGTTCATTTTCATCATTTTCATTTTCGCAGTGGCCACGACGCCCACGGCCCACGTGCTCTGTGTGGCCGCGGCCAGCACGGCCGGTCCGCCGGGGCGTTACTTTTTGAGCGTCTCCGCGTTATCTGGCGGCCTGGCGGCCCACTGCTTACGGAGGGTGACTCACGGTCGCGCCGCGGGCAGGCCGCGGGCCTCGCGGGTCGCGGGGCGCCGAGCCGAGCGTGGGCGCGGCGGGGCAGGGGGCTCAGCGAGCAGGGCCCCAAAGCCGGGCGAAGAGGCACAATGTGCTACGTTGGTACGTTCGCGCCAATGATAAAGGCGAGGCGGCGGGGCGGAGGCGGAGGGTTGCGCAAGCCGCTGCCGCTGCACCGCGAGGAAACCAGGGGCCTGCAGGCTGACTCCGAACAGTGCATCGTCGCTCTGCCTCGGCGCTGCCCCTGCCCTGTCACTGTCGAGCACACAAGGGAGACGGAGTGACGATGCGCGGTTCGGTTCGGACTCAGCCTGCAGATGCCTGACGGCCGGGGCCGCAGCGCACTATCATAATCGTACGAGTGACACACACGGACCGCACCGCTTGTGGCGGCCTGTGGCGGCAGCGACCTCTCGGAGTCATAAAGCACTCGGAGCAACACAACAACCCCCCGCCCCGCCCCGCCTTCTACGCATCCAGAGCGGGGCCCAGGCCCAGGATCGCGGGGCCGCGACGACATCGCTGTGTGCGCTGCCGGCGATGCATGTCCATGTCCACGGCCTCCACGGCCGCGGGGACAACAACACCCAGGTCGTCGACTCACCTCACCCAAGCCCTGCACGAAGCGGACGATGCTGAGGGGCAGCGTGCCCCAGCGCGCCGACACGGGCACCAGCAGGCCGAACACCGAGTTGACCAGCATGCCCACGCCCAGGAAGTACTTGGCGCCGTACCTGCGGACACGTCAAACTGCACGCTGTACTCGTGAGGGAGGGCGCCGCACCGAGCTGGTGCGTATGGTCAAGGCGCTCCGGGCAATCCACTGCGGCGGACGAGTCCCTGGCGACCCAGCAGACCGATTCCGAGAGTCGTTTCCGTCGCTCCGTCTCTCTCGCGCTCATTGCGCATTCTGGATAGGTGCGAGGGAGACAGAGCGACGAGAGCGCCGTTCGGAATCTGCCTGCTGCTGCACTGCAAGCGGCCCACCCGCGACACTCACTTCTTGGCCATGATGCCGAACGGGATCTGGGTGAGGACGTAGCCGTAGAAGAAGGAGCTGAGGATGAAGCTCTGCGTCTGCGTGTCCCACATGAACTCGCCGTCCTCCTCGGGGTCGTTGAACACCTGCGCGACACAAAGCGTATTAGAAAAAAACAGCGTCCAGAGCGAGATAAGGCAGGGCAAGTCGGGGATTGCGGTAATTGCAGTGGCGTGGCCCAGGGACGGGCCGGGCCCGCCCTGCCCACCGGCCCTGGCCCCGTGCCGGGGCGCTGGCCTTCCCTAGAAACAGGGGATGAAACCGCGGCCTGAGTCTGTGTGCGTGTGTATGTGTGTGTATGTGTTTGGGTGACTTTGTCCCGGACTATTTATACCGGCGAATGTAGACTCGGGGAGGGGGGAGGGGGCACCGAAACGAAGGGGCGGGGGCTGCGGGGGCTGAGACACCGAGCCAAGGCAGGAGCGCGAGGACGAGGACGAGGACGTGGCGGAGGGGGTCAAGGGGGCCACCTTGTTGTGGAAGCCTCGCCCTTCGCCTCGCCCTTCGCTTCGGCCGCCGCGCCTCGCGAACCGGGGACCCCTGAGCGCTTCCTCATCGGCCTCCCCTTGCGCCTCATTTCTTTGCCGCTTCATTGTCATCCGCTCCGAGTCGGGCCACCATCCTCAGCCCGCACCGCACCGCACCGCGCCGAACTCGCGGACGACGGGGCCGACCGTCCCGGCAGGTGTCGCCAGGACCGCCAGCGCCGCGGCCGTCGCGTCGGCGCGCTGGTGCGGGGGCTGGCAGGATCAGCGACCTCGGAATAAAAACACGCGGCGAAAAGGAAACGCACCTAGGGAGAGCGGCGGGGCGGGGCGGGGCGGCGCGGGTGCGACTCGCGCCGCTCTGCGCCCGCTTGGCGGCAACAGAAATAGGTTAGTGGCCCCGAGGACAGGCAGGAGTGCCCCCCGTGGGGCGTGGGGCCCTCGGCGGGGCCTCCGTCGTGTGCGTTCCAAGATGTGACGCGACGCGACGGCCCAGAATACATTGCGTCTGTCTGTGTAACAGCATCGCTGCGGCGCCGCGGCGCTGCGTCCGTCTGGCATGCGGCCGGGACACGCGCCACGGCAGCCACGGCAGCCGAGTCGGTGCGAGCAGCTTCGCGCTCCTCCCACTGGCCGAGTGAACGCCCTGAGCGCGAGCACAGAGCGCGAAGCTAGTTGGATCAGCAGCGGCCAATGCCCTCAGCACGCGCAGGGAACGGCTTCGAGCCGCCATTAGTGGGAGGCTGGTCCGTTTCCAAGTTTGGGTAGTTTGCGCATCCGGCCGCGACCGCGCGCACTGCTCGTCCCTCATCCCTGCCCGGGCATGCCACCCATGCAACCGCTGCAGCGAGCACGCTCGCGGCGTCACAATTTATTTAGCGTAATTAAGTCGTTGGGGACGTTCTCTTCTTCCCCTGAACACAGATTCCGAGAGTCGTTTTCGTCGCTCTGTCTCTCTCGCACTCGTCCCGTAAAGGGGCGAGAGAGACAGAGCGACGAGGACGCCTGCCGGAATCGGTCTGCCGGCTTCCTTACCGCGCTGGCGTTGGCGCTGCCCACGGCGCCGCACTCCTCGTCCACGGCCTCCTCGGCCTTCGGCAGGGCCGTCTGGTTCACCATGGCCACGATGGCCACCGACATGTTGGTCCGCATGACGTAGGCGTTGGCCATGCCCAGGAACAGCATGAGGGTGAGGAAGTGCCGCGCGCCGGTCCATCCTGCAAAGACAAGGGGCACGTTAACGACTCGCAAACGAGGAGCAGAAGGAGGAGGGACTGTGTTTGTGAGGCAGCAGTAACTACGGACAGGTTGCCGAGCGAGTGGCTTCGCTGGCGGGGTGGGGTGGGGCCATCGGGGCCCATTGCGACAAAGCGGGCGAACATCAAAGGAGCCGCTCGTTCATACGTGTACGTGATGCCCGGCGATGCCAGAAAATGAGTATTGGAACCTCGCGTCCCGCCCCGCCCCGCCCCGCCTCGCTGCTGGGCGAGGACCCTACTCAATTACGATGGAAATACCTCATGCAAAGTCGTCTGCTTTCGTGTCATGGACCCGGAGCAAGCTGTTCAAACAGGAGAACTGACTAACTACGGCGCGGGCGACTACGTTCCGCGCGCAACCCGGCACGCTGCGCACCTCTCACCCCCCTGCTCGCCTTCTCGCCTTGAAATGAGCGCCGCCCTGTTTGCCAAGGGCTCGGGCGATTGGCCGCACTCGGCGCGCCACTCGGCAGTCGAGCCTCGGCGCCGCTTATCCGTAATCTCGAAGCGACAATCGAGAATAACACAACGGCCGGCCTATCACCTGGACCCCGAGTGCGAAGCGGAGCGCGGAGCGGCACTGATAAACGGGGAGCATTCTTCCGGCTGCCCGGGCAGCGCAGGTACCCGCCGAGGTCTCGTCCAAGCTCGTCCGAGGCCCTGTTCAACGCCCTGTCCGAGGACCTGTCCAATGCCCTGTCCGAGGCCCGTCCGAGGCCCTGTCCAAGGCCCTGTCCGAGGACCTCTCCGAGGCCTTCGACGTTCTGCCCGAGGCCTTCGACACTCTGTCCTAGGCCCAGTGCGAGGCCACGCGAGGTGGTCGGGGTATCAGGCATGCAGTTCGGATTACGCCGTTCGCTGTTTAGCTTTCATCTCTCGGAGTGGCGGTGCGGTCCCTGGCCGCCCTCGGCTGGCGTGGCCAAGGAGGCGGAGAGCTTGGGCTTGGCGGGCTTGGCCACGACGGGGATGCGGCGCCAGCCCCGGCCGTCGCCGGCCCCCCGCCGCCTCGCCGCCGCCGCTTGTAACCAGGTCGCTGGTTGTTGTGCTCTCCAGCCTAGGCCTGGTTATCAGGAACGAACTAACACGGCAAAGCCTATTTACGGCGAAGACGTGACTCAGAACGCCTCTCTGGGGCGGAGGCGGGGCGGAGGCGGGGCGGAGCGACGGACTAGCGCAGCGGGGCGTGGCGGCGCAGCTTGGCCTGCACTGCGCAGTGCCACGCTAGGCCCACCCGGGGGACTCATTTCGCACAGTCGTTCTCTCTCGCACATCGACGGGACGTCCCATGAGTGCAAGCGGGACAGAGCGACGAAACGACTCCGGAATCGGCCGACTTCCCCGTGATCCCCCCTACAGTGTCGTGTCGGGGCACTCAACGCCGCTTCCTCTGCCTGCCGCTGTTTGTTTACAAACAGTGCAGGTGCGCGACAACCGTCAAGCCGGCGCCGAGCGCGCCGAGCGACAGGCTACTTTGCAACTGGAACTTCTCTCGTCGCGCAGCGCTACCGCCTCTCTCGCACTCATGGGGCGTGCCGAAGGGCGTGCCGTATGGGTGCGAGAGAGACGGAGCGGCACGGCCTGTCCTGGAAGAACGCACACCCACACTGTCAAAACTTGTAGTCACTTGTGACAAAAACGTGGAGGATATTTTCATCACTTTCAAATAATGACAATCTCATCACAAATTGCTGACATTTTCATCAAAGCTCCTATACTTATTGCATGGGCATAACAACAATGTCAAGGAAAATTAGCCTTGAAATTTTCATTATTTAAATTTTTACAGTGCAGAGCACCCAGTTCGCTCAGCAAGTGCGCAGTACGGCACGGCAACCGGTCGGTGAGTCTGGGATGGGCTGGGACTGGCGACTGGGGACGGGGGACTGGGGATCGACGCCCGGACAGTGGATGTTCCCAGAAAAAGATTGTGGACGGCCGAGCGCCCGACGCACAAATAAATGGCAGCGCAAACGACGCGGTGTGCACGCGAGGCGAGTCGTGTTTCTGCGCGAGTGTGTGTACGTGTATGAGTGCGTGTATGGGCGTGGGTGTGGTCGCCGCAACTCCATAACCGAGTTCATGGAAAGGCGAGCTAGCGCGTCGCTGCGGTGCGGTGCTGACTCGACGTCGTCGGCGTCGGCAGAGCGAAGAGCGCCTGCAGCCTGCAGGGTAGGCCGCCACGCCGCGCGGCGCTGCAGCCGCGGCGAGCGGGTGTGCCCACCCTCCGGGCGCTCCGCAGTCCGCGGTCCTCGGCCCGCACCGCGAGCCGCGAAACGAAGAACCGCGCGCCGAGTCGAGCGTGCGGCGTGAGGGGGTAGTTGGAGGCAGTGGAGTCGTGTGGTTTAACGGCGTGCTGGCACCGCTGGGCGTGGCGGTGGCACAGCGGCACGGCGGCGCCAAGGCCAGTCCAGAGGGCGGGCCGCGTGGCCGCGTGGCCGCGTGCTCGGCCGGGTGCGAGGGTCACGTCATGGCGCCCTTGTCGTGCTCGCGTGCCGTGCGCGCGTGCCGCGGTGCGCGGACGGCCGGGACGGCGGGGACGGAGTCCGCCGGGCTCTCCGGGGCGGCGGCGGGGGCGGCGGGCTTGATGACTGAGCATGTCGACGCTGCACCGGCGGCCAAAACACGGGCGTGTTTTTGCGAGGCTCGGTGCTCGGTGCGGCGTTCGGTGGTGCCAAGCCGGCGGCCGGACCCTGGCCAAGCCCGGGCAGGCCCTCAGGCCGGCAGGCCGCCCCGGCCAGCCCCCACGCAGCCGCCACTAATTCGTTTCAGTAGTCGCACTGTCTCCGTCTCTGGCATTGTCTCTGCCTTGTGCAACGGCCGGCCAGCGAGCCGCCAGCCGCCAGGCGACTTGATTGCGAGGATAAGAATCGGCGGCCACTTTGGCGAGCGAAGCAACGAGCCTCGGACAGATTGGGCCGCGCCGTAATGAAACGAGGATGCCGCCCGCCGCCCTCTCTCCGTCTCTCTCGCACCCACGCGCAGCCCCCACGCGGCCCCGCGAGTGCGAGAGAGACGGAGCGATGCAGCTCGCGGGGCGTTGCACGTGTTACGTAACGCTTCCGGCGCCCGCCGTCCTAATCACGGCAATTGGATTGAAGGAAGGAATGAATGAACGCGTTCCGCAGCAGGCCGCTGTCTCTCTCGCACTCAAGGGGCGCCTCGCAGGACTCGTAGGGGTGCGAGCGAGACAGCGGCCTGGACCACCGAGTGAAACACGCGAGGCTGGGCCGCCAGTCGTCACGCCACTGCTAGCGCGGCGCGGACTCTTTGCCTGTCCACTTCCGTGTGTCCGTCCAGCAACAAATTCGGTGCTTCAAGTTGTTTGCAAGTCGGCGAGCCATCCGCCACCCCACCGGCAGACTGAGTCACTTCGTCTCTCTCGCACTCTTGGGGCGTCCCGAACAGGTGCGAGAGAGACAGAGCGACGAAAACGACTCTCGGAATCGGTCTGCGGCCGCGACCGCCGCGACCAGACGGCGCCTCCGTGCCGCCACCCTGACCGTTCCTCGTTCTCGGCGTTCCTCCCCCTTGCCGGCCGTGCCCGTGCGTGCCGTGCCGCCATATGGCGCTGGCCTCGGCCTCGGACTCGGCCTCCGATATACATTCCCCGGCGGCGCTCTGAACGGCCCGCAATTCAGCTAAGTGCAAGTGCAGGGGACCGATTCTGAGGGCCGTTTCCGTCGCTCTGTCTCTCTCGCACTCATGGGGCGTGCCGTAAGCGTGCGAGAGAGAGACGGAGCGACGAAAACGACGACTCTCGGAATCAGTCTGCTGCGCCGCCCTGCCGGAATCCGAGTCGGCCGTCCGTCTTTGTCGCCGTTTTATTTCAAAACCGGCATGGCGGCCGGGACGGAGTTTGCGGGGGCCGCCGAGCCGTGCGCCGCGGACACGTCTCCTGCGCGAACCACCCCCTCCCCTCCCCCCTCCCCCGGGGACTCGAGGGGGTCACCTATACATTTCATAAACACCCTCCGTCGCGCATGTGGGACTTTACGACGCAATGAAGAGCGTCGCGCTGCAGTGCAGGCCCGGCAGGCCCATCCCGAACGCCGCGCTCACTCTGTCCCTCTCGCACCCGAGGAGCGCCCCGTAGTCCCGTGGGGGTGCGAGAGAGACAGCCAGCGTGGAGAAGCAGTGCTCCGTTTCGGAATCCACCGTCGGGCCACTGTCTCCTCCGCGTCAAATTTCGTGTCGCCGTCGCCGGCAGGTTGGGCGTTTTCCACCGTACTACTACTACACTGCTCACGAGACAGAATGGCGGCGCTCGGGGAAGCGATGGGGAAGGGGGGGGGGAGGGGGCAGACAAAGACAAGGTGGGGCGCTATAAAAAGGAGCAAGTCAAAAATAAAGTGAAGCGGGCGAAGAATGCGACTGGCTAAATTGTAAAGCAATCCCCTCGTCTGGCGATGTCGCGGCCCGCCATCGCCACGCGCCCGCCGAACCTGCTGAACCCAGGGAAGGAAACCTGGGGAAACCCTGCGAACCCAGGGAACCCAGTGAACCTGACGAACCCACGACACCGGCACAGTGCGTGTGCTTGCTAGAGGGGTCGCACCTGCCGCACACACTGTCTCTGACTCACCGACACATACACATGCGCGCGCGCATACACACACATGAAAATAAAGCGTGTTTTTGTCGCTTTTCGCGCGGGAGGAGCGAAGTGTAAGTATAACGCTGGGTATTCCGCGCAGCCGGCGGGGCGGGACAGGGCGGGCGCGGCACTGCTGGGCCTGGTGGGCAACGTGCCCGACCATGAGTCTGAGTGTGTGAGTGCGTCTGTGTGTGTGTCCCTTCGAGTGTCGTGTGCATGTGTGTGTATATACATGCTGCATGTGCCCGCGGCGGAAAGTCCAAACTATTAGCCAGCCCCCTGTGTGCGCCTTGCAGGCCTTGCATCCTGTTCGTTTGATCTGCGTGATCTGCGCTGTGTGCGTCACACCGTCACATCTCAACAT